GCTTTTGCTATATTAAAATGCATTTATCTTGACCCATGAGGTTTGGGGTTTTTTTCCATCTTATTTTCTCTTCCCCCTGTACTGCTGAGGAGGAAAGTGATAAAGCAGCTTGGTGGGCACCTGATGTCCAGCCCGGCTAAACCCACCACAACTCCTGTCAAGCAGGTAAACACAGGAGAGAAATTTATACAGGTACATTGAGGTGAGAGCATCTCCCACACTGTCTCTGCATCTGTATGGTTATGTAGTGTGCTGTTGCTTTCTGGTGATTTTTTAGCTAAGATATGCACTTTAAATATAAAACTTACTCTGATGACTTTCTGCCATGAATTAAAATACTTAATCTGGAGAACCTGAAGACTAAAGCATGTTTTAATTGGTCCAACACCTGTTTTTACCAGATGGTGCTGTCAAATGCATCTGTGTTTCTGAAGGCTTTGCTCATTTGAGTAATGTAAATAAGATGCACAGACAACCACAGAATGCCATAAAAATTCAAGTTTTACTTTTAAATAAACTGGACACAAGTATTGACACAGCCATCTATCAAACTCCATTTAAAAGAAAGCACACAGTTGCTTCATGAATACTTAACCTACATAGAACATATGCATCACTTTGATGTTTATATATGTTGTTTTCAGACATCTTTGTAGGGAGCTTTGAATTAAAACAGATTTCCCCAAAAGGAAATGTGTTATCTATTCAGTTCAATATTCACCTGTATAAGAACTGACAAGGAGAGGTGCCATGCTTGACCTCGTGCTCACCAACAGGGAAGGGCTCGTTGGAAATGTGACGCTCCAGGGCAGACTTGGCTGTAGTGATCATGAGATGCTCAAATTTGAGATCCTCAGGACAGCGAGAAGAGCGTGCAGCAAGCTCACTGTCCTGGACTTCAGGAGAGCAGACTTTGGCCTCTTCAGGAACCTGCTTAGTAAAGGTCCATGGGATATAGCCCTAGAGGGCAGGGGGGCCCAAGACTGTTGGTTGATATTCAAGGATCACCTGCTACAAGCTCAGGAGTGTTGCATCCCAACCAGAAGGAAGTGCAGCAGGAGGGCCAGGAGACCTCCTTGGATGGATAAGGAGCTGCTGAGGAAAATTCAGAGGAAAAAAAGAGGCTTATAAAAGATGGAAGCAAGGACAGGTGGCCTGGGAAGAATACAGGGATGTTGTCCAGGAAGCTACGGACCAGGTTAGGAAAGCTAAGGCCCAGTTAGAATTAAACTTGGCTAAGGATGTTAAGAATAACAGGAGGGGATTCTATAGGTACATTTCAAATAAAAGACAGACTACAGACAACGTGGGCCCTCTCTGGAAGCTATCAGAAGAACTGGCTACACAGGATTTGGAGAGGGCTGAGGTTCTTAATGACTTCTTTTCCTCAGTCTTCACTGGCAAAGGCTCTGACCACACCACCCAAGTCTTGGAAAGCAGACGCAGGGACCGTGAGAAAGAAGACCTTGTGCCCACTGTAGGAGAGGATCTGGTTCGAGAGCATCTTAAGAACCTGATTGTGCACAAGTCCATGGGACCTGATGAAATCCATCCGTGGGTCCTGAAGGAGCTGGCAAATGAAGTCGCTAAGACACTGTCCATCGTATTTGAAAAATCATGGCAGTCCGGTGAAGTTCCTGATGACTGGAAAAACCCCCATTTTCAAGAAGGGGAAAATGGATGATCCAGGGGAGTATGAACAATTCAGTCTCACCTCTGTGCCTCGCAAAATCTTGGAGCAGATTCTCCTGGAAGGCATGCTAAGGCACATGAAAATCAACAAGGTGCTTGGTGACAGCCTGCATGGCTTCACTAAGGGGAAATCCTGCCTGACCGATTTGGTGGCCTTCTATGATGGGGCTACGGAACTGATGGACAGGGGTAGAGCAGTTGATGTCATCTACCTGGACTTGTGCAAAGCGTTCAACACTGTCCTGCATGACGTCCTTGGAGAGACATCAGTTTGATAGGTGGAGCACTTGGTGGATAAGGAACTGGCTGGATGGCTGCATGCAAAGAGTTGTGGTCAATGGCTCGGTGTCCGGCTGGAGACCGGTAATGAGTGGTGTCCCTCAGGGATTGGTGTTGGGACCGGTCTTGTTTAACATCTTTGTCGGTGACATTGACAGTGGGGTTGAGTGCGCCCTCAGCAAGTTTGCCGATGACACCAAGTTGGGTGGTTCAGTTGATATGCTGGAGGGAAGGGATGCCATCCAGAGGGACCCTGACACGCTTGTGAGGTGGGCAAATGCCAAACTTACGAAGTTTAACCATGCAAGGTCCTACACCTGCATTGGAGCAATCCTAGGCACAGCTACAGGTTGGGCAGAGAAGAGATTCAGAGCAGCCCTGTGGAGAGGGACTTGGGGGTGTTGGTTGATGGGAGATTTAACATGAGCCGGCAGTGTGTGCTTTCAGCCCAGAGGGCCAACCGCGTCCCGGGCTGCATCAAAAGGAGCGTGACCAGCAGGTCGAAGGAGGTGATCCTGCCCCTCTACTCTGCTCTCGTGAGACCTCACCTGGAGTATTGTGTGCAGTTCTGGTGTCCTCAACATAAAAAGGACATGGAACTGTTGGAACAAGTCAAGAGGAGGGCCACAGGGATGATCAGGGGACTGGAGCACCTCCTGTATGAAGACAGGCTAAGAAGTTGGGGCTGTTCAGCCTGGAGAAGAGAAGGCTGCATGGAGACCTCATACCAGCCTTCCAGTATTTGAAGGGGGCCTATAGGGATGCTGGGGAGGGACTCTTCATTAGAGACTGTAGTGACAGGACAAAGGGTAATGGGTTCAACTCAAACAGGGGAAGTTCAGGTTAGATATAAGGAATTCTTTACTGTGAGGGTGGTGAGGCACTGGAATGGGTTGCCCAAGGAAGGTGTGAGTGCTCCATCCCTGGTGGTTGAAGGCCATGTTAGGCAGCCCCTTGGGTGACATGGTTTAGTGTGAGGTGTCCCTGCCCATGGCAGGGGGGTTGGAACTAGATAATCTTAAGGTCCTTTCCAACCCAACTATTCTATGATTCTATGATTTGGCAACTTAAATGGTAGTTGGATTTTTTTTTACCCCAACCAACATCTTTATTACAATGAATTTGATTAGAATATGAGTTGGAAGTTCAGTGATACTGATAAGAAGTGCAGTGTAGAGAACAGCAGGTTAAGGCTGGTTCCTAATGAAAGAAACCAGTTAACAAACAAGAGGACCTATATGGGCTATACAAAAACTTTTGTGGTGTGGTTAGCAAGTCCTCTTTATTGTATAAAATACATGTTTTGCAAAGAGGTATATCTTAATGTTGTACGTGTTGCTAATTAGTAAGTGAGTTCTGCAACTTACCTGCTCTTAGCAGTTAGATCTCAGAAAAGGTAAAAGCAGAGGCACAAAGTTAAAATTGTTGGCCTGAGATCAATTCAGCAAATCAGACTCAGTACTAGGATGAGAATGCCTCAAATAGCAGCCCTTTCTCCATGTGAGCACAGGTCTGTATGTCATCCAATCCCAGGGTAACCTTTGCCTGACACAGCTGTACATTTCCTGTCTTCTGTGACTCACCTATGTACAAGCATTTCGGACTGACACCCAAACTTCAAGTCTGAAAACAACTGCCTCTAGGCAGTAAAAGCCCTAAGAAAGCTGGGGAAAGGTAGCAGGAGTGGAAAGAGCAAGGTGTAGCTCAGAGCTGTAAGAGAGCAGCCACTTACAGATGTTGTTAGGCTGGTTTAGGGCTACAGAGAATACTGTGACACAGAAAGTGTTCTCATTGACTGATCACTTTCTCTCTCATAAAAATAACAAAACCAGAAGAAAAGGGGCCTTTCTTCAAATGACTGAGGAAGAAAAGCTTGAAGGGGGCTCATGTGTACGGAAGAAGTTTCTTTTGCTGTACTATCAGCTGACAGTGGCATCCTAGTCCAAATTTTGCCTTGTTCTGGCACTGACAATGTGTAATACAAGCATTAGGCATTCTTTTATGGATACAGAATAGTACTGTAGTACCCCAGACCAAGCATTACAGTTGCTAAAACCTGCTTCCTATAGTGTCATTGGCGAGAAGACTTCTAATTCAAACCAGCACTCTATCTGTAAATTTCTCATTTAAATGCAAAAAAAAATTGGCCTGATTACAAAACAACTCTCCCGTGACTTGTTAACTGAAACCTATCACTATTAGACTAGATAAAAGCTTACTTTCTGATGTTGTGGGATAAGTGAAACACCACATACTTGGCTGATGGCATCCAGCAATAGCACACAAAAGCACAGGCAAATGACAATACACAGGAAAACATGAGATTGGATATAAACCTTAGAAGTTACTTTCTTCCTGATCAGTATTTGAGGTTTGGTAAGATATGCACACTGTGTACAGATAATTTTAAAATAATAACACCACAAATCCTCCTAAAATAGTATATATGTTCTACTTGTCTGTGCCTGAAGAATGCAGAATAATGGTAATGATTTAGCGACAAACTACAAGTAGGTGTATAATGGTCCGGTTTAGAACACCTTGAAGAAATCACATTCATTGCAGACACTTTAACCAGTGTGGTCTGTTATATTTCAGTAGTCTTCCAAAAGATTGTGATGCTCTAGATTAATCTGTATCATCAAAATCTTTGCCATGGTGATAGGGGTTTTTGTGCATGTGTGCTTGGTAGGGTTTTGGGTGTTTTGTTTTGGGTTGTTGATGTTTTTTTTTCTTTTGGCTTGTTTCTTCTAACAGCTGCTTGTGAGAATATCACACAAGCTCATAAATAGATCCAAAAGGATAATCTTAAATTGGAGCAATGATAAATAAACCATATAACAGACTTAGAAAAAAGTTTGAGGAAATACTTCAAGCCAAGCCCAAAAATATCCTAGGATGAAATCCACAGTAAATGCAGAAAATGCTGAAGAACCTCAATGAAAACAGAATTTTTATCACAGAGGGGTTTTAAGCTCTTTACTTCCCTTAGATTTGTTCACTGAGACTGAAGAAGAATGGTCCAAAACAAGTGATCAAAGAAAAATATTTATTAAGTGAATCTGCCTTCCCTGGCATGATGCAGCATCTCCCAATGTGCAGACCAATCCATACTATGACAGGAATACGCAAACTGTATGGCTACCCTGGCTAGTAGCATCCACCTGACCATCTCAGAACATGAAACAAAGAATCAAAAATTTAAGTGAAAAATAAAACTCTTCTCAGTTTTGCTAAGTTAAAATGAGTATTAGTAATCCCACACGTCTTGTAAAGCATAACTTTGATGCCTTTTGTTCATCCCAGTTCTCAATCAATTGCTTTTCTGACAGGGCTGTAGTCCCCTGGTATAGTGTTGCTAGGGGAAGAAGTCACAGGATCACTGCAAATCACCGAAGGTGGTGGGGGTTGAGTTTAAGGAGGACCAAGGTATAAAGGCATATCAGCTACTACAGCCATTTCCAATGCTGTTTGACAAAGTCAATATTTAGTTTGGAGATTACAGTTAGGAAAAGTTACTTTCATAATACAAAGATTTTGCTGAGCTTCTTATTAAGTTAGCAACAGCAATAGTCTCATCCATGTGCTGACTGTGGTCAAATGGGAGGCAGAGGAATTACTTTCATCTATTTGGACAAAGTGAGAAGGCAAGAGAAGAGCCAGGCATCACTTCAGATATGTTCTAGAAGATAACTCTCTCAGTGTGCAGCATCATTTAAACTTACTATTCCTACCGTGTCAATAGAGGAAAAATTGCAATTACACCTGAAATACTGCCTTTGTCATTTTGTCATAGTAGAAATGGCTCAAAGTATCAGAAGGTACTACCACTGATTATTTCATATAAAAAGAGATTAAGGTAGCCTTTGCTAATCTAGATTAAAAAAAAAAAAAAAAAAGGCTATTTGCTAGCTGTCTTACATCCTACTCCACAAGTTTCATTTAAACAGTACTTAAGTGCCTTGCTAAGCAGTCTTAATACAGTGGGTCAGTACATATTTTCCATTTTTCTTCCAGTGTGGTTTACTACAAGGTGACAGATGTATTTCTATGGTATGGAATGTTCAATTAAATAGCCCATCTATTGCCTCTAACAGGGCATTCAAAATTGAGAACACTTAAAACTGTCAAGGGAAAGTAAGTCTATATCACCTCTGGAACTCTCTGCTACAGGGTGTTACCAAGTCTATTATTTCTGAGGTAAAACTGGTCGAGTCAACATTTGTATTAACAACATGAGCATCTGTTGTTGTGCTAGGCTAAAATAAACCTTGTAATAGCCATCAGTCCTTGTGTCTCCGGACACAGGTTGATCCCCATAATATAAAATTGTCAAGATAATTCTCCCCATATCACACTGTATTGCACACTTGTCCAAACCCATGACTATTTCACGTCTCTTGAAGCATCTGGTCTGATCATGTCAGTTAACAGTCATTTTTTGGAAAAAGGCAATTCAGTTACAGAGCAGACCATCCAGCTTGTTTTGTTGCAGAAAATTCTTTTTTGTTCATTTTTTGGAAATGTAACTGCTGATGATTCAATTTTACTATGACTTTTCTTTTTGGCTGTCTAATTAGGCAGCTTCTCCTCAATCAGTCACACCACTAGAATGATGTCAGTAATAAAAGCATTGCTTGGCCTTCCCAGCAAGCAGGCCCTTCTGAGTGTCCTAAAAAAAATAGCCACCATGTAGACTTCAGTTTCTTTCTTCGCAAACACACAAAAATTCTCAATTTCCAAAGAAGAAAATCTATTCACCATCTTCAGTTATGGCAGTCAAGTCTCCACCTTAAAGCGTGACACCTGTACAGTTTTTACGATCTTAGTGGTGGGTTTTCCATCAGTGTTGTTAGTCGATAGCAGAGATATTTCTCCTATTAAGCTGTCTTTAGACCCGTTCTGTCTCTGAAGGAAACAAACCAAAACATGCTGTTGAAAAGGTATAGCAGAATTTAAATACTGTGTTTTGATAATTGCTGCTATGACAGCCTTAGGCTAAGGATATAGCAATTTATATAGGTATACACACACCAGGAATATTAAAGCCTCTGCATTTATTTGATCAAACAGAACTTTTCCTCTCTCTTGCCTCCTCTCTCCCCTGCCAGATGCTGCCCTCTGTGCTATTCCCTGTTCAGGAAATGTCCCAGCTAATTATATGATTATTTAGCAAAGCTCTGCAAGCAAGCACTTACAACGAATTAATGGCCACTGTTGTGAGGGGGTCTGGGGCAGAGGGCAAAAAGAGGTGTTTGTGGACACTGAACATTGTAACATTAATTCCTTCCAGGGCATGAATTTAAGCCACACTGTAATGGATAAGAACGGAAACAGAAAAAGAGTTTGAATTTTGAACTGGACTCTGTCAGACAAGCTACGTATTTCTACAAAGCATGTAAATGCGCTTAGCCTTAAATATATCAACTTCACTGCTGCAGCAAGTCCTCACAGAAACATTAAGGACAGCACAACTTTTTCAGTTTCCACCATATGCAGGAATACAAATACCCTTGAACTTAATTCCTATCAAAGAACAGATAGTGTGTTAGCCAGCCTTAAAGTGAAAAACACCTGTTTATTGGTTCAAAATTGTTCAAGCTTCAGTTATTCTAATTGCTTACAAGAAAAAATATTACCTGTTTTGCTGTGCAGTTTCCACACTATATACAATATCAGTATGTGTTTTTGGTATATCTGCATGCCAGATTAACAGACAAGATACCTGTTGTGGGAAGTTAGTTATCTGCAATTCTCCTTTCCAAGTTTTGGGTTTCCTTCTGTGCTTTTTTACAATAGACCACCAAGCACTTTTTGACTATAATTTGCTTCTCATATTTTGAGTTTAATAAAACTGTCAAAGCTGAGAGATATGGTAACATAATGTATAATGAAAGCCAATGATTACATTTAAAAGTCCTACTCTTTTTGTTTTGAGTAATAGAAAAGAAAAAAAAAAAAAAGCAATGCTTCAGGTCCAACCACTGAGACCTCTAAGAAACAGTGAATAAACAATAGTAGGTTGTGATTCCAACTGCATCCCAAGCACACCTGCACACTTCAACAAAATGCAAAACTGTTTCTCCTGCTGTAGAGAACAGGGTACCATATTAAGGGAAGCATCAAACTCAATCTGGCAAAGAGTCTTCCAGTAGCAGAAGCAAGTGGTTCACAAGGGTGTATGCTACAAAACTATGTATATTTGGAAATAAAGGCAAAGTGCAAATATAAGCAAAATGTAAAATTTTGAGTCACACTGCTGCTGCTAAAGCTGCAGCACTAAACATCCCCTTCTCCAGCCAAAAAAAATAAAATTGCAAAGGATGCATGATTACTAACCTGTTGAGTCAACTGGATGCTGGGACCTCTCGCATCTGAAGATCGTGTAATAGGCAGTGGAGGCACCAGATCAGTTTTCACACTGGAATTGGGATATTACAAAATAGATATTGCCATAGTGAAGTAAATACAACTGTGCAGAGGAAGAACAACAAAACTGACCCAGACAACTAAACAGATCTGACAGGAATAATCCAAAAGGCTCATCACCTGACTTCAGATATTGAAAGATGTTATCCTGATCCTCAGCAATTGGTGGGCACTTTCAGGGCATTCATAGATCATCCTATCTTTTCTCAAAGGGCCTGTCTCCTTCTGGGCTACAGAGGCAGCCTAACTTCAGGTAAGACATCACTTAAAACTGTGGGTGTGCCACACCTCCTTTCAGGGTGCCATTCAGTTAAAACTAGCCTCCTAACTGGGTGATATCACCAGGGTACTGCTTTTGATATATAACACCTTAACAAAATTGAGAATGGGACTGTCACTTTTCCATTTTTAAGTACCCCCCTTGCAAATCAGTTTTCTAGGGAAGACTGATCCACCTGCTGCTGGAGAAGATTGTACATGTTGTAAATGAAGAGTTCCAATGAAACAAATTACAGAATAAAGAAAGATTATGTCCTAACCCTATTAAGGATTAAGGTATCTGGAAAGCAACTAGTGGATTCTCATCCCTTAGGCAACTTCATGACCTACACTGAACAGCAATATAGGTTTATTTTAGCTTTTTCAGCTTTTCCCCTTTCAAGCTCAAGGATCAAGCAAGCCTCTGTGGCCCAAGAATAGAACAGAAATTGTTTTTTACTTGTTTGCGTCATTTATCCCTGAAGACCTACTATTTAGAGGGTTGCCTGAATCCTATGCCAGCAACCAGCACCTTTATGCCACTTCTAATCCAACCATGATCTTTGAACAATTTTTGGGCCACACTAAACCATTCTATTGCTAATAACCACATTCACATACTTCACTTCAGACAGGACAGATCTTTCACCATCAGAGCACTGGGACCGCCGATACTGGCGGTAGCTTCGAGGGGAATGTGAATGCCTAATGCGGATTGGGTCACCTTGAGTCCTAAGAGAGACACAGAATTCACAATGGTAGTTTAGAAAACTAGATCTTCAGCACAAAAACATTAATTCAACTGCAGACTGAGAGATTCTCCCATTTCTTATTTAAGTATAACAGATAGCTTCTTGCACTGGCTGAATTTAAGAAGCTATTGCTTTTCTTACAGGTCCATACTGGAATCCAGTGCTTTAGGTGCAAATGTCACAAACTGGCATCCCATATTTGAGAATTAAACCATTTAATACAGAATGCATGACTACATACAGCTTTAACATCAGCCTTTTCTATTGGTGCTGTGGAAATACATCATAATGCAAACCAGGATCCCATGCAGCACTTGCACTAGCATATGGCATCCCCAACAGGCAACCAGCACAGTGAAATACATGTTGGCTCTTAAGGAAATAACTATGCTCTGGCAGCTGCCCATGACAAGCAAGGAAATGGGCTGGACAGGTAAAACAGTGCCTCAGATGATCAGAATAAATACTTGAAAGAAAGCAGAAGTTCTGGAAATAAATGGATTTGTTTGTTTTAATTCAGTTCTCTCTGATTCTGTAACTTATACTACAAAGCAATTTGATGGATGGCATAGGGAGACATACAGAACATAGAGACATTTAGCAGCTTTACAAGTGTGTGGGACAGATAGGGAGAGATGAAGATGACTTTTTTCATAGTTTGGGAAGAGAAAATAGTAGGTTTTTAAACTATTAAGTATCCTCACCCAATCCATCCTAGATGACCATTAGTAGGTAGAAGCTTAGAGATATAATGTATAAACCCACTCCCATTTCAGTACGACAGAGTTCATAGCAAAATAAGGAGGAGAGGAAAAAAGAAAAAGGACTTTCATATTCATAAATTAAAATCCTGACATAAACTCACTCTATTTTAGTGTATGGAATTTCTTTCAGTTGCTCTTCAGACAGGCCAGATGGATCCACAAGCTCCTTCCTAGAAAAGATTAGGCAAAGTAAAAAATGTAACAGTAGCTACCAACCGCAAAACCATTTTTATTTTTATTAGGTTGAAAAGATTTACTGAGACAAGCTGTTGTCAGCTCTGAAGCTATCTTGATATCAAAATAGGAAACCTATTAAGAAATGTGCCTAACTTAATTTTGATGGCTTCAACTGTGTGTCACATCCTGTTCTACCTTCCTCTCACCTTCCTGCAAATCTGATCTTTATATGATCAGACATATATATGAACACTGAACATCAAAACTGCTTTGGAATAGCTAACTATCTTCCTAACTGGTAGTCCTATAGTGTATGGGGCCTCATCCTAGGAATGTCAGTACTACAAACAAGCACACGTTGGTAGCCACAGAGGTACAAATTTCTAAAATGCTGTATTCTCCCTTTAATTTATCTTCCTTAAATTTATCTATATACAATGCTATTCGGTGCATGCAGTGATCTGCAGTACTTCTGCACACAGCAGGTCATTAACACCCACATAACTTACCATGGCACATAAATAAATCAGAACATAATGCCTCATAACTAAATCAGAACATAATGCCTCATAGCCATAGTGCAAGGAACATGAACAACTACGTTAGAGGCAAACCAAGCAGTCACTCAGACCCTACAAGGACCATACTTACTGAATATGTTTCCACAGTTCTTCTTTAGCTTGTACATCTGGGCTTCTCCTATAAATGCCAACAAAGATAACAAAGGCAGAACTGTGAAAACTGTCATCTGATGTGTGGCTGTTCAAATAACTTTTAACAGCACAGACCCTGCACAGGAATCATGGAAAATGGAATCCACCAGTGACTTCAATTTTAAGGTCTGTTCTCTCAAAAAATGCATCAAACTCCACAACTTTATTTCAACCAAAAAGTAATTTCTTGAATGACAGGCTCTCAATCACAACTGCTGTTCCATCAGCTTTCAGCAAGTGTATGCATAAAATATAAACAGAAGAACTTCCCAAGCCAAATGAGTGCCCAGCTACTGCCACCCCTTATCCAGCTGAGGACCATGTCTTTTGGGATAATACATTTGTAAATGGCCCTCAGAAATGTCCTGTTGCCCCCAGAGCCCTTTGTGGGCAGAAAGAGGGCAGGCCACACCAGGCTGAGACACCAGTAACCCTTGGCCATTCCCAGTGAGCACCAGTAAAGAGAAACCACTGCTTAGCTGCATCACAGTACAGCCTCTCACCTTCTGGTCATTTCCAGTAAGGTTTCTGCTCGCTTCATTTACCTTTGTGATATCCAGGAGAAAAAACCAATTATGAACAAGCTAAACCAGCAACCACACATACTCATGCACACAAATAGTTTAGAGAATATTTCATTCACAAATACCCAAAATTTTAACTTCCCTGATGGAGACATATAGATGCCTGCAGACATAAAGCAAGCCCGAATGGCATGCCTGACATTTTCCACTGAATTACAGAAGACAGTGTATCCAAACTGGACCCCCTTTGTTTTTATTTCTGTTACCCTATTTTATTGCAAGGGTGGTGTAAAACCACCACCATTGCTGAAGCTGCACCTAGAATTCACCAAAATCCATGCAGAGTAATTGATGAAATGAGCATTTTACACAGTGGCAGGGACTACATTTGCATGGACAGATCTTTAATAACTCTTTTTATCAGGATTATATAAACTCAGTGTCAACAGCCAGACTGGTCCACACCATCTGAGATGTGAGGTATGCAACTTTTAGACAGATTCAGCATACCTAAATGCTCCCACCGAAGTCACAGTTTCTCAAAGACTAAGTCTTACATCATCAGATCATAGAGCTTTTCTTTCCTTGAACATATTCGAAGATGCTTTTGGAGTGAATATAATCAGAATTTAAACAAAGATCACAGAGGATAGCAGAGTTCTGCATTTTAACATCATGAAATTTGCTTTACCTTGCCCAGAGACAGCTGTATCAGAAATTATCCCAAAATGCTATCCCTAACAATTTCACTGTTTTCTTATTTCACTGTTACTACATTTGTCTCATTTCCAAACTTAAGCCTCAGAATATTGTTCAGACACATCTATATTGCAGTACACGTTTTGCAGTTGGTATAAAGGCAGACCATTTAGGGATCGTAACATTTTGGGGTTGGTTTTGTTGTGGTTTTCTTCTTAATTTTACAGGTGCAGAAGTAGTGGGAGATACTGGTGTACTGCTTTATAAATCACAGAATCATAGAATAGTTAGGGCTGGAAAGGACCTTAAGTTCATGAAGTTCCAATCCCACTGCCATGGGCAAGGACACCACACACTAAACTATGTCACCCAAGGCTTTGTCCAACCTGGCCTTGAACACTGCCAGGGATGGAGCATTCACAACTTCCTTGGGCAACCTGTGCCAGCACCTCACCACCCTCACAGTAAAGAATTTCCTTGTATCTAATCTGAACTTCCCCTGTTTGAGTTGAACCCATTACCCTTTGTCCTATCGCTACAGTCCTGGATGAAGAGTCCCGCTCTGACGTCCCCTTCAGATACTGGAAGGCTGCTATAAGATGTCCATGCAGCCTTCTCTTCTCCAGGCTGAACAGCCCCAACTTTCTCAGCCTGTCTTCATACAGGAGGTGCTCCAGTCCCGTTATCGTCCTCGTGGCCCTCCTCTGGACTTGCTCCAACAGCTCCATGTCCTTTTTATGTTGAGGATACCAGAACTGCACACAATGCTCCAGGTGAGGTCTCATGAGAGCAGAGTAGAGGGGGAGGATCACCTCCTTTGACCTGCTGGTCATGCTTCTTTTGATGCAGCCCAGGATACGGCTGGCTTTCTCAGCTGCGAGCGCACACTGAAGCTGGCTGATGTTCATTTTCTCATCAACCAACACCTCCAAGCCTTTCTCTGCAGGGCTGTTTTGAATCTCTTCTCTGCCTAACCTGTAGCTGTACCTGGGATTGCCTGGACACAGGTGTAGGACTTTGCACTTGGCTTGACTGAACTTCATGAGGTTGGCAATGGCCCACCTCACAAGCATGTCAAGGTCTCTCCAGATGGCATTCCCTCCCTCCAGAAAGAAGCAGAAGGATGAGTAATCACCTTACATTTGTAATTCCCTTGTAGGACTAATATGAACTAATCCATAAACTTTCCAGTCTCCAAGGTAGCGATTGCTTTCCAGGCAGCATAAAACAGCTGCCCCAGATGATTCCCTTGATGGACTCTCTCTGTTCCAACGGCTCAGGTACGCATGACAGAAACAGCTACAGCCACAAGTAGCTTGAAGTCTTATTTTTCTCAGCATTCAGAGCTTTTTATGGCTTTGTGTGTATTTATTATAATGCATTTAGTTTTCTCTGATTTTTCAGAGAGTTTTTCTCCTTCTCCCTTCCTGCATTTACTTCTTTCTTACATCCATCCATGCTGATTTTAGCTGCCTGAGGCTGTTGCATGGTATGCAGTGGCATTTAACAGTGTTTTTCACTCCCAGTTTTGAACTAATTTCTCCTTACATTCAACCATCTCCTCACAAAACAGCAGCTGCATACCCCACATTTACCCTGGGGCTGGTAAAATAGGCATCCTCTGTTGAGGCCAAATAATCAGGCAGTGGGGAATGCAAAAAATGCCAGCTTCTCTATGAAGGCTTTGTAATGCTTACAAGCTCTAGTTTGCCTGAAGGAAGCAAAATCTCAGGATCCACACAAAGCAGGGTGCTGTGCCCGCCACTGACTCAGCTCAGGATGTGGCCTTAAATCTTAGGTATCACCAAATGTCATGTGATGCCTCACCTAAGGTAAGAAATATTAATCTGTGGGTCAATGTGAAAAAGGAGTGGTTAAATAAGAAGTTGTCTTTATTTCTCTATTTTATAGGAACTCTGCCTCCTGCTTTCTACAGCCAACTCCAGACATTTAATTTCATGGTCTTTTTCTCCCTCCTTCTTTCACCCCTGCAATGACACTAATAAGGAAGCCACTGCTGTAAAATATCTGTTTAGCAATATGACATTTCATAGGAAAAATAAAAGAAAAAAAAAAGAAAATGGCTAAACACAATGATTCCTCAAAACAAACCACTTCTATGAACTCCCATCTTAACTGTATATTCTATCTGTTTAAGAAGTGTTACCATACTGGGACTCTCAGCATTTACTGCAGATAACTAACCACAAATTAATATCCAGAAATATGAGAAAGTATCTTACTAAAAGCATTTTCCTTCAAAAGGCCTATTCCTGCTTCCTTTGAAAGCAAAATGAACAAAAGCTTACAAAAGGTAAGGCAAAATGTAGGTATTGCATATGCTGCATAGAAAATTCATGTTTGTATAGGTCTTAACAGCCCACAACAAAACAATCCTTCTATTAAACCTTAAAGCTAGATCACAACCCCTCTTTCACTTTTGTTTTCATCTTTTTACTGTAAATTGTTTTAGAATTCACAGTTTTGACATATTATGTATACTTAGATTGTCCTGTTGCAGCATCTGGATCAATAGCTCCTGGACAATTTGTACTCTCATTAGATTCTCTACTGCACAAGCAACCTTGTGGGAATTTCCAGTAAGTGATGAGTCTTCAGGGCTTTTTTGTTTGTTTGTCTGTTTGTTTTTATTACATTTGCACATGCTCAAACAACTCTACATATAAATAAGGCCTACTTTACTTTTCGTGTCTGCATCTGCACCCTTATTAATATTTCAGCTTGAGTCACAAATGCTAGATTTAAATAGCCATGGAATTTTAATAGTCATATCATCTTAACTAAAAAAAAAAAAAAAAAAAGCCCTTTGGCTACACAGATGTTTTACATGAATTCTTGAAAATAAACCCTGTAGAACTAGAAATGGGAGCTCTCTCAATGTGCTGATTCTTTTAGGAGAAAGGAAGGTTAAATTCTGGTCAAATGTTTTTATTCCTGAGACCAATGAAACACCACCTCCCCACCACCACTGATTAATATTACACAGATTCAAACAAACAAAATGTACTGTACCAGGTACAAGCAACAAATAGGCATTACTTCACGCTTGCAAACGGAACCTCTAGTTAACCTGACTGCACTAAGGAACTTAATGTGAAAGACTTACCTGTATTAAAACAATGGTTTTATATCAATCATTAAATGTGCAAATTGAAATGACCAAATGATCAGATTTAAAAACAAAAGCAACCATACCCTACACCCTAGGGAATCACATTTCCCTTCCCTCCAACCTGCATCCAGTCATGCAAGCAAACAGCTAAGCCAAACTAAATTAAATTAAATAAATTAAATTAAATATAACCTACTGAAGGCTAACAGTTAAATGCCTTTTACTAAAGTTTTTTGAAGCACTTTGAAAGGAATTCTCATTTTGCTTTTTTTAGTTCCTGCTTGCACTTATTAAGGATATGTGCCACACTTGGGAGGTTTAGGCTTATTTCATTGTTTTGATTTTACTTTTAAACTGAAGAGAAACAAAAAGAAGGAATATATTCATCACTAACATAATAGGGAAAAGAAATGAGAAGCCATTCAAATCTTGAGGATTTCACTTCTTTCCTTCTTCTAGGGTCTTTCTTTCTTAATTAAGATACTACACATTTATGTTTTTCCTAATAGTAGCTTGAATAAAAAATTACTCTGAGTATCACGATGCTGGAAAATAAAAGCCATTTCATAAATCAACTTGCCGTAAGAGGGAGTCCATGCTGCCTAAGTAATGAAATTTACTTGGTTTATGGGTATAAATTTATTATTGAGTAAATTTTCTAGCTTATAGCACTTTCTGTATACAGTAAAAAAATGTAATTTTAACTTAATCAGCTATATTTTTGTGGATTCCCTACAAGTGAGCTGTAATATTCCTGATTTTTAGTAATATGTCATTGTACAATTACAACTAATAACATTTGACTTTTGTGCAGCTAAAGGTGAACAAGTCTGTACAAAGCTAGTTAAAGAAAAAATTCCAACATTTGGAATTTTAATGGCAAATTCTGTTTCTCATAAAAGAATGAAAACTGTACACTATGAAACTGGAGACAGAAATTAGTTCTAGCAGCTCAGGCAACTAAAACCAGAACTCCGGTAGATTTTAATACTGGAAACTTCAGTACTATTACAGTTTCAATCTGTGTGAATGAAATAATCATTTAAGGCACTATACAGTTTATCTCTGTAAATCTCAACATGAAAAGTAAATTTAAGAAAAGTTATTAATGGGAAGTACCTATGCTAAGTGCATTACACTGGTCACACATTGCTCTATCAGCACCAGGGCTGTCAGCCAGACAGCAATGATGGAGGGAGCTTCAAAGGCTCCCTTTTGCCATCTCTCCCAGTGCCTCATAGCTTCTTTCCTGGCAGTCTTCAACACCACCTACCCTGCCCTTCTCTGCCTGCCAGGCACACCAATGCTGGCACTGCTCTGGATGGTTGCTTGGACGGCAGATTAGGCTGGACACAAACATGATAAAGAACAGTATACCCCAGAAACATTCTATTAGAAGAAAAACACAAATTAAAAGAAACCATAATTTTCATTAGTTTGAGAAAAATTATTTTAGAAGCTGACAATTTCACCGTGTCAAAAGCACTGTCAACAAGAATAGCAGTGCCTGGAAGCATGGCTCCATCACAGAAATCCTGACATCAGAATTCAATACATCACTGTCTGCTGCCTGTCAATGGTAATTTGACATGAAAACACCAGAAGCTGGTCTCATCTGGAAGAATACTGCAGATATTATATGAGTAAACAAAGTGTGTGTGCATTTCACAAAAATGCCTGCACCTATCACACAAAATGTCAGTGTTTTCACAGACTTGCTGCCCAGAAGAGGGGAATCGTCCTCATTACTGGATACAGTCCAGGACTCCACCAAAGGTGACAGAGAGAGTTCCTGACCAGCTCTATGACAAAGCTCTTCTTGCATTATCTCTTCTTGCCCTGAAATTCATATCACTAAACAAAAAGAGAGTGATCACAAAGACATATCTGATAATGTGAGAATACGCTAAGTGAAAGCCTCTATTCCTCAGCGGCCTCTATTCCTCAGCGGCCTCTATTCCTCACCACCATACTGGAGATACTTCTCCTGCTTTTTAACATGTCACAGCAGCCTTAGTTTTCATGTCAAAGAGGACAAGGGTTACATACGAACGAGATCTGTGTCTGGATCGCCGGTAGGTTGGGTCTGCCTGGTTTTTCTCCTTTTGTTGCTGTAACACAGCTTCCCACTGCGGAGCTGAGTCAACCATGTCATTCTCTTGCCGTAATCTAGAAAAAAAAAGATTCCAGGAGTTTAGTCTGAGGTTTCTGAGAAGCAATGAGGATTTTTCTCCCCAGCTCCTGCAATGCAATACTTTAACTTCATCTTGCTAAATTTTTAATTGGTGTTCCGAAACTAAATTAAAATGTAAGAACTTCTACCAAAGAAAACTCACTGATTTATTTATAAACAGCACAGACCAAAAATGAAATTACCCAGGCCTTTAAGGACAGGATCACAACCTGTATTGTCTTCCCAGCCCAAGCCAAACATCTAGAATTTTTTTCCCAATTACGCATTCCAGCCCACCTCATCTACAGCAAGTGTAAGCCCCACATCACAATACAAACCTCTTCTGATACTGCTTTTCAAAATATTTTGTTGCAGCATGTACCTTCCTAGGATCCAGAGAAAGTTCCCCAGGGATGCCCTTGGCAAGTTCCTGCTCAGAGAAAGCATTCCCTTCACCCTGATTTGCATCAAAGCCCAGAATGCACACGTATCTCTCTGCCTGCCCCAGACATACATAATCCTTCTGCCTCCCCTTCTGCACTGTGCCCCTATGGCTTTGGCCCCTGGCTTTGCTTGTGTGCTTCTAAACTATATGATATTACTTTTATTGCTTTTTTTTTTATTATTTTTTTCTTTAATCCATGAATCCACTATTGGAATGCAGTACAGATTAAACTAAATGTCAAAATCCCATAAACACAGCATGTTTGTTAGCAGGCTGAAGTAACTCTACAGTGACACAACCAGTCAGGCCAATTGATACACCAACATTTGGCCATTCAAAGCTACACAGATGATCCACAGTTTTGAGGCTACAGATATGAGTGGTGTGATGAAGTGTTAAGTTGGAACAAATGGATATGCTTGATCACAGCAGTGAATTTAAAAGTCAGCAGGGATTTAGAAACAACCCTGGAAAATATCACTCCACATGTGGGTTTTCTGATAGGATGGTATGACTGGTATCCTGAAGAAGCCAGAGTAGCTTAATAAAAACGGGAAGACTGACAGGTAAAATAAACAAAGAATTACATTTGAGACATGACTGATACAAAATGTAAAGCATGATGTTGTTGCTCTTCACTATGGATACACCTTTCTCCTTGAGTTTTGAACTATACCAGGCTAATCTGGCTACACATACTGCTGCTTTGCACTGCTGCTTTTCATTTAATAAGATCTTCTCTCACAAACAGAATGAATTTTGAACTGCATCCACAGCTACTGTAAATGGCCACAACTCTTACAAATGGCACTAAGCAACTGGAGCAACATGAGGTTTTGATTTCTAAGCAAGTCTTTTTAAACCCGCAATCTGGTGACAGGGATTAACATAAACTTCCATCTAAGAATTCAGTAGAAGACTTCACACAGCAACAAGCAGTCAGTTGTGATTTTCATCCCAAATAATCCAATTTGTGGAGACAGCAAGCATCCCACATGGAATAAACACATCCAGCTGCCTTTCACATACAGCTGTCACTTGCACACAAAGAAGATGTGCAGGTGGTGGGTCTGCCTGCTTGCCATAACCTTGCCCCATCTCTCCCAAACAACAGTTCAAGCAGACAGCTGTGCTCTCAATTCAGATTCTTGCCATAAAATAACCAAGAGCTACTCATTCTTCTGAGGAAACCCAGACAATGTGGCAGAGCACAAGGTCTATACTCTGGCACAGAGCACATGAAACCCTGCACCTCTGGGTTTGAAGACACACTTCCAAGCTCACCACAAATGACCTTTCCTTAGGAGAGCAAACACATCATGGCTGCTCCAGTCCATCCTAGTCAATTAGCATCCACGGCTGCATGGCAAGCACAATCCTTAGCAACACATTCATTTACCCACAAGTACTTCATGTTCCTACTCTGCCTCCTTTCTTCTACTTGTAGAACATTGTAACATTCAACAGTATTTATCACTGTCATTGTAACATTCAACAGTATTTATCATTGTCATTTATTTCTTTAGTTTAAGCAAAATACCAGAAATCTAAATACATAAAGTAGCATGACACCTATTAAAACAAGTAGTGTCATCACACTCAAAGTACTATTGTACCACAACAGAACTCTACTAGATGGATACATAAAAAAAAAATGCAATCATTTTGCAGCTGAAAAGAAAGGTATTGTGCTCACATTTAACAATATAAGGATGACTAAGGTAACACAATATCTGCATAAAACACAATATTTAGATGCAACGATCAAATCATAACAATAATGGAGCAAAATCTTTAGTTCTTTGGCAACTGAGAGGACAAAAAAAAAAAAAAAGGAAAGAATTTGTATTTGATGTCCATCACAACTTTTCCTTTTATTCTTTTCACTTTTTTCTCCCACAAAGGAACAAGCTGATTTATGCCTTATAGAAAAATCCCATTCCTGTTACTGGCATGTGAAATAAAGCCAGCTGACATTAATAGGTATCAAAATGACAAATCAGCATTATTTGCAGGAAGACTTCATGGTAAAATGTTAAGTCATAAGACTACCATCACTCATCAGTTGACTTAGAGATATTTTTTCCCCACTTCAGCTGATATGATAGCAAGCTACGTCTAGGCAATGATAAATCCTCTTAAGACTTGATTCTTGAAACCTCATTCAAAGTATTTGAGTGTAAAGTTATAATTTAGGTACAAAGTACAACAATGAAGGGCTTGTTAGGGATGTGAAGAGCAAAGGAAGTCTTGGCCAGAATTCAGATGCTGGAATTCAGGCCCCTGAGAGGTGAGAGGAGGGCAAAAAAACAGTTACAACCTGGACTTCAGGAGAACAGGCTGTGGCCTCTTCAAAGATCTGTTTGGAAAAGTGCAGTGGGATCAAGCCCTAGAGTGAAAAGGAGCCCAAGAAGTCTGGTTAATATTCAAAGATCACCTCCTCCAAGCTCAAGAGAAGTCCATTCCAGCAAGTAGAAGTCAGGCAAAAATGCCAGGAGGCCTGCATAGGTGAACAAGTTGCTCCTGGCAGAACTCAAACACAAAAACGAAGCACACAGAATGTGGAAGCAAGACAGGTAATGTGCGCTGAATATAGAAACATTATCCGAGCATGCAGGGATGAGGTTAGGAATGCTAAAGCCCAAATGAATTTGAATCTGGCCAGGGATGTCAAAAGCAACAAATAGGGCTTCAATAAACAGACAAGATGACAAAAGGAAGGACAGGGCCCACTAGCAAGACCAGCCTTCAGTAATCTCAGGTCCCAGAGACCATCAGGAAGGTCTCGAGAAAGGAGGACATAACCTTGGTGGAAGAGGATCAGGTCAAGGAAGACTTAAGCAAACTGGGCATATGTAAATTAGTGGGCCCATGCATGCAGAGATAGCTGGCTGATGTCATTGCAAGGCCTCTCTCAATGATCTCTATATGATCATGGTGATTGACAGAGGTGCTCAAAGACCAGACGAAAGCAAAAGTCACTCTTGTCTTCATAGACAGCAAGAAGGAGCAGCTGGGGAAAAATTTCTCCAGAAATCCTGGAAACCCCTTCCAGGAACACGAAGGCTAAGAAAATAACCAGGAATAGTAAGCATGGATTTACCAACTTGGAAAACTTCTATGACAAAATGACTGGGTTGGTAGATGAGGGGAGATCAGCGGATATTGTCTACCATGACTTCAGGAAGGCTTCTGATCTATCCCTCCACAAAATCCTCAGAGAGAAGCTGCTGAAGTAAGGTCTAGATGAACAGTGAGGTGCACTGAAAACTGGCTGAACAGGTAGATTCAGAGGCGATCTGTAGCATGTAGTCTGGCTGGAGCCAGTAACTAGGGGTGTACCCCACTGAGTCCAGTCCTGACAAACATCTTAATTAACGATCTGGATGATGGGCAGAGTGCACCCTCAGCAAGTCTGTAGATGACGCCAAACTGGGGTGATACACCAGAGGGTTGTGCGGTCATCCAGAGGGACCTGGACAGGCTGGAGAAAGAGGCTCAAAGGAATCTCATGCACTTCAACAAGGGGAGAGTAAAGTACTGCAGCTCAGAGGGAGGAACAGCCCCAGGCTCCAGGACATGCTGGGGGCTGACCAGCTGGGAAGCAGCTTGGCAGAAAGAGACCTGGGCATCCCGGGAGATACTAAGTTGAACATGGGCCAGCAATGTGCCCTTGCTGCAAAGAAGGCGTTTGGTATCCTGAGAAGCCTTAGGCAAATTATTGCCAGTAGATCAAGGCAGATGATCTTTCTGTTCCTACACAGAGCTGGTGAGGCGACATCTGTAGTGCTGGGTCTGGTGCTGTTTTCTCGGAACAAGACAGACATGGACACTATGGACAGAGTCCAGCAAAGGGCCACTAAAGGACTGGAGCATCTCTTCTAGGAGGAAAGGTCAAGAGAGCTGGGACTGTTCAGCCTGGGGAAGAGAAGGATCAGGCAAGATCCTGCAGGGAGGGAGCAAAGAGGATGAAGCCAGGCATTTTTCAGTGGTGCCCAGAGACAGGACAAGAGGCAATGGGCACACACTGAAAAACAGGAGGTTTCCTCTGAACATCATGAAACACTTTTTCACTCTGTGGGTTACCAAGCAGTGGCACAGATTGCTCAGAGAGGCAGTGAAGTCTCCCTCCTTGTAGACAATTCAACAACCATCTGGGAATGGTCCTGGGCAACTGGCTCTAGGTGACCCTGCTTCAGTAAGGGGTTGGATCAGATGACATCCAGACAACTCTGCCAATCTCAACCATTCAATCATTCTGTGATTCTAAATCAGATGGATCTTTAAAGTGTAGTCAAGCAGAAGTGCTGCAGCACACAGTCTACCAGTTTAATATACTTTTATCCACACAATAAATTTTGACCAAAGCTTTTAAGAAAGCAGATACATTTCTTCTATGATTGAAATATGCACATCATAGATTCTTCTTAAATTTCATGTGAACATCTGCTTAGGATAAAACATTCATACGAAGTAAAGTGTTTCTCCCTAACCTTTTCCCAGTGTCGTACTTTCAGAAGTTCTCACCTGCCTTTCTATTTCTCTCTGGTAATTGTTTGTTTGGGTTTTGGTTTGTTTTTTTTTTATAAATACTGGTCTTTGCTTACGTGGACAATACATTCTACTCTTCTATAATCAGAAGCAGATTCTTTTCAGTAATGTGGGTATTCAGTCATTTTATTCCAGTAAAACAGTACAACTCCGTGTTTGCTTGTGCCAGAGATCTGATTATCATACTGGGAAATAAATTAGTATTAATCTATGCAACAGGCAAAACTCGAGTAACAGCAGTCATTATATAGTCCCATTTAACCCTGTTAGACCTGGCTCACCTCTGAAAACAGAAATTCAATGTGTGTGCCCTTTCAGCTTATTATATTCCTCTTTAGCAGCTAAGAAAATGCAGAAATGCATTATGACTGGTAGGTTTCCTGCACCTGGTAACAAGCAACAAGTTTCAGACTTCCAGATCATTTAGTACTTGTTTAACAATCATAATGACTTTCTAGCTGGCCAACTAACCACTGTAACATCAGTATTTTTTATGTATCCTACATTTCTGAAAATGTATAAAACATAAAAACAATCCACACAAATTTATTTTTCTTCTTTTTAATTTTAAACACTTTTCCATGAGGTGAGGAAGGGCTGGTAGAGGCACTTCTTCAGAAAATTATAAGCAGTATTTAATCTTTCTTACAACTCAATGTTTATATTGGAAGAAACCCTTAAAGACATTCTTGTGGTCAGTCTCTAATTTTCTTCGCTTGCTTGTGGGGCAAACTGAACAAGAAATTTCAGTGAAATTTCAATGAAATAACCTGGCAATAGTGTTCTAAGAGAAAGGAATGCAAGATACTATTTACACACTCATAACTGAAACTATACTCACCATTTCTTTCAACTTCAGAGATCACCTAGAAAACAGATCTTCCTTGAACACTAGGTTATTGTTGACCGATTACCTCACAAGATTGTGCTCTAATTTAAGTACACTTCAAAGAAATCTCATGGCTCAGATATACTTTATACCATCTTATTTGAATGTCACTGTGATTTTTTTTAGCATCTCTAACCACTGCACACCAGGCTTAAAATACTATTATACTGAGTACTTCTGCAGCACTAACTAGCAAATAATTATTTATAAGAGTTTTCAACTATCTGAAAATCACATATCACTCATGGTACTGCATGTGAGGCAAAGAGAAACTACGGCAGCTTTTGAAAACAGCTTCTTAGAAAAATTGCCTTAAACAATTCATCTTTTGTCCAGTGACATTTATCTTCTGCTCTGTTTATGTGATATGAAGAAACTTTATGTCCTTTTTAAAAATACATTTTCATAAATAATTCTCCAATGCAACAGAAATTTTTCCAGTGTAAAGGAATTTTTATCATACGATAAATCAGGTTTTGTAGATAATTTTTATGATGTAACAGTTATGATAACTTTCTCATATCAGCAGTAAGAAAAATAGAATCTAAATAAAATAGAATCTAAACCACAAAACTTGCTTGCATCACTTAATATTCACTCTTACTATTCTATAAAAAGTTGATGGTGTATGCATTTTGGGTTTAGGCCCACACTTTACATTATGGAAAATAAAAATATTTATACCATTAAAAGCTTGTATTTAAAATTAACACATAGTTTCAGAGCCATTAAAATACTTTTACTATTCTCCTCAAAAGCTTATTTTCTGCTGAAGTTCTGCCCTTGAAATTTTTGAGTATATGCTGTGAATATCTTGTCATCAGCATTATCCACTTTATTTGCAGTAATATTGCAAGTCTTTTGTAAATGTGTCCCATATTTGCAGTTCATTAATGAGTTCTTCCCAAGAAGCAGGAGAGTATGCATTCATTGCATACACCCATGATGTTCATGAGTTTTGGCAATTACCTCTCTTCTTATTCAAAACAGGACCTTAAGCTGCCTCAGGAGGACTGTACACATACAATACATGTTAGAAACCTATCTCAGAAAAGTCCATCTCCATTTGTTTGCATCTCCTGTCTCTATGTCTAAAATGTATAAAGGTTACCTGTTCCTTTTCTTCCGATGCTCTCTGTTGGAATTTTCTGATTCACTGCCACTGCTGGTGTTACAGCGAGATCGTGATCTGGAGAGGAGAAAGCAACGTCTCAAGATGAATTTATATACTAATATCAAAGGTTGTGTTTCTAAATAAGGAATGAGCAACAGTGGAAAAACATTATGAGGAAAAACAGAATTAAAAGTCTCCTGAGGGCTTGTCTGCACCTGAAAGTCATATTATCTTTTTCTCATTAACTGATTGGGAATAACTGCTTTGAAAGTAGTGCACCCAGAGTACAGTGTCAGTCAAGTGCTATTTCCCATCATTGTACTGCATTTTTGTTTTATTTTATCTCTCAGCACCCTTTATGTATATGCACAAGTAAAATGTTTCTCTGAGGTGTGAAATGTTTCATCTTTAAGCTGTATGCATTCTAGCTTTTTTCTTGTAGCACACTGTGGGCCACCCAACAGAAACAATACAGTAAACCTGGTTTTGTAGGCAAAACAAAATGCTTATCACATCTGTCTTTTTCTATTCACTTCAATTTCCATCTGGCTTCTAGTTACGTTCATATCATTTTTCAAATGTCAGGCAGTATGGAAGAAAACCCAGCTAACACTCTGACTCTGCTGGTCTTTATAAACACAGAAAGGCTGAAGTGCACACACTGGCAGGTATTTACCAGCACAGCTTTGGGATGACTTAATGCATTGCTACAGAGATGGTGTGTCATGTGAGGCAAAAGAAAGAAAGCAGTTACTTCCATATCACCTCTCACTGTGAAGCTTCAAATGGTAAGGTGACATTTATGGCTCTGGTGGAACTGGGATGGTGGAACAGAGCAATGCTAGAGTTCAAGAAGAGAATGGGCATATGCCTACCTATAGACAAACTCCTCTCAGCAGAAGGAAGTGCTTGGCCACTACCTATGCCAGACTCTCAAATCCCTGATTGCCACTGATGAACGTTTTGAAGCAAACAGACCAGCTGTCAAGGATTTGGTACTAGAAAACAGGATTCTGTTACTGTACTGCACTGTTGGGCTTGGTCCTAAAAAATGGCACTGTCATCAAAAGCTGGTTTGGACCATTCTTTAGAGTGACTATGATCTCTAAATGCCCCCAAAGAAAGACATGCTTGTGATGCTGACGGCCCAGCTGATTAATGGGGAAACCTGACGAATATTGACATGTGTTGGCCTAGAAGGATTTAGGATGTCAAGACTTATAACCGGTGATGGGTTTGCTGCAACTGAAAACAGAAATTTTCTTCTGAGGTCTCTGGGGGTGAAATAGGAGACAGAAGGGGATAACTCCTGATGCTGCTGTCAGACAAATACACTTTTGTGTGCCTCCTGCTCTTTGATTAGCCACTTTTTTAAGAGAACAGATTTGTCAAACTGTACTCCAAACAAGCTGAGAAGTGAATGCATTTCATCAGGTATAGCTAACAGGTAATGGGAAGCACTTCATGAAAAGGTTGAAAGCTACTGACAAGCACCTGCTTAGTGCATGTTCTAACAGTGTGGGGAGAAGAGCCCAAATAGGATGAGAAAACACAAGAAAGACTTCCTAGACAAGAGAGTAGCAGCAGCATGGACCTCCCCTGAGTGTCCTATCTGCTCAGGGACATATTACTCTACCCTCTGTCTCTGAAAATAGGACACTGTTACAGAAGTCTGACACAGCTGAGAGTCTCAAATTTTTTCCATAATACAAATTATGGTTGATTTTATCAAATTGCTGTCATTACATGCCTCAGCCTATGGAGTCCAGACTCCCCTCTCTCCTACACCAGAAAATCATTAACTCAAATAGCTTCCATTAAAACAGAATAATAGGACTTAGGAAAATCATTCTGACCTAGCTTGTCTGAAGGGAATAGCCTTGGAAAAGTAAAATTTCCCTAGAGGAGAAGCAGAAAGCTCTCCCCATTCCCAAATTTCACTGTTCATAATCTAAAGCCACTGAAAGGCTCAGGACAGTCAATTTCCACGGTAAAAATGCACAGTTTGGGATGAAGCTGAAAGTGGGGATAAGAAAGACACATTTTACTCCAGCAAAATGTAACCCCAAAGGAAGAAAGAGGATTAAAAGACAGTGTCCAAATGACTGCCTGAAGCACAGAGTAATAAATGCCCTAGAACTACAACAGACCTTACATGCCCAAAAGGATACCTTTTTTCCCCCCTAGTCTCATTAGATGTTTAATAAATATTCCACTAATCTTGAATCTAAGGTCACGCAAGCAACACCGTTCTTTCACACTTCCAGGTCATCAGAGTGACTCCATTCTTTTACATTTCTCAGTTCTCCATTATTTTCCTACTCTGATTTAAGCAATTTATTTCTTAAGATATCAAGGCAGCAGAAACCACACCATTGCAGGAGAAGTGGAAGATAAAATATCCTGTTTGTTCAAATTAAAGATAAGCCTTCCTCTAGCTTTTCAGAAATAGAAATCTAACCCACCTTTGGGATACTGCCTATAAAGTTACTTTGTGCTCCCTGTCAGGAAACCACCTGTTGGGAGACAGAAGGGCTGCTGAATTGTCAGCTGAGTGGCAGCTGCTCATGTTGGCTGTCAGAATATTATCTTTCAGTGACTATTAAATAATAGCTTTTACTGAACTGAACAAAATACCAAAAATCAGAACAAAGGTGGTTAGGTGACACCTAACTCAGGTGCAAGAACAAGTGAGGTCATCCTGACCTCTGACAATTACAAAGCACCTTTCATTCTTTCTTCTCATGTTTTCTTTGTTATGTGATATATCTGATACTTTACATGTGCTATACCTATACGGTTTGATGCAAGGAGCAAGAACTAGGTAAAGGCAGTTTAACAAGTGGCACAGAATAAATACAGTCCAGAAGGCCTATGTCAACAGAGAAACAGTTGACAGAGAAGGCTCGCATTCTGGTGGAATCCTTTTCTGATTAAAAAGAGAGGAGAGTAGCCAAATTGTGAGGAAGTGGAGAAAGTCTATTACAATATACAATACCAAACCTGCAGCAGGCACAGGCTTTGCAGAAAGGTCCCTTCTGAGCACTGTGTTTTCCACCTGAGATGTCTAACTAAATCTTCTCATGTGCTGGACATCTACTACAGGATTATCACTGGCAGATTGTAATGGTGACATCCTTCAAAAAAATAATCCAATACAAGAGGTGCAAAGTATGCAAGCATTTTCTCTGACTTCCTGTGATTGTCCCTGGGATTTTGTATCTCTGCCAGAGCTCCTTTCCCATGCTGCAGCAGAGAATCAGATCCTGGGAGTGTCTCCTTTTCCTCACAAGCTTCTAGATACTCTAACATAGAAATGCACTGCACTGTTCCCTTTACTCCAGCAGCCAGAGCAGGACCGCAGGAGCAAGGACAGCTCAGAGCACAGACTCAGCAAGCAGTCTCATGGCAAGCAGAAGTGGCACTGCAGAACTCCAGATGCAAAATTCCATCAAAAGGTGAAGTTGTTGAAGGGCACACATGAATTCACACAGACACTATTTGGAAATGTGACAACTAGTCAAGACTGCACAAGGAAAAAAAAGCCAGAAGCTTCAGAAAAGAGTTCAGAAAAAAAATGTGCAAGACAGTGAGAACACCTTAACAAACTGCATATGCCTCTGCACCTACCTTATACAGGACAACTAATCTGAAACAATAGTATGCTTGCTTTCGAAACAGATTAATTAGAAGTGGACTGGGAGGCTAAAGAACTCAACACAAAATCTGCAGACACAAAATCCAAAAGCTAAAACTTTCGGAATTGACCTTTAAGTTGCAGAAAAGCCTTTAGTTAATTTCCATAAATTTCTTCTAGCATGGTGCAATAACAATGTGCAAGGCAGCTTAGAGGAATCTGTGTTACAGAGTATTTTAGCAAAAGCAAGACAGGAAAGAGAACAATAAATGGCCAGAATATAACAAGCCTTTTAAATAATTAAGAAGATGGTGGAGAGGGAACAAAGGAAGGGAAGGAATGCAGGGAACTAAAATATGATTAGTACCTTTGCTATCATTTCATGACTGCTATAAATTATATATTTACCTTCTCCTTTGCTTTAAATATGAATCTTCGCCACTGTTTTGATTTCTCCTGTGACATTAAGGAGGTTTTAATGAAACACCATTGGGTCACTTAATACAAATACACAAGAACACACATCTTTAAAAAAAAAAAAATGGAAAAAACAAACACCAAAATTTTACCAAAGTTTTCCTTCAGCATCATTTAAGGCACAGAAAAGGCATGTGCTTGTTTTAAAATTAAAAACACTATAGTAAATTGTAAAGGCACGATCCCATTCAAACTCTCTTTGCAAACCTCTGACTTGTAAGATTAAGCATAGTATGCTGACCTTTAAAGTTTCCTACTGTTTCCAGCATAGCAAAGCCTGATGTTTTCCTCTTAATTCCAGTAAAAAGTCCAGAAACAACATGGCTATTGTTATTAAACAGCTGGGAAAGGAAAGTCCATTAATAAAACCAAGATTCAGGAAGACATAATTAGGTTAGAACCTATCTACTTCACTGTTCCACATATGAGATAAGACTTTAAAAAACATATTGTTGGTGTGGTGGCCCAAGAGAAAACTTGCTGTAGGCATGATCAAATGTCCACTGAGTAGACCAGCTAAATGCAATTCCCAGATGATCTTTGCATCTCAAAGAATTTCCTACTATGTAGTGCACAAACACTGTTCTTGATACAAGACAGTTCTGCACTGCACATGCCTATTCCTTTGTTTTTAAAGCCCAGTAAGCCCTCACAATAAGCTAGCAATGAAAGAAAACCCATTCAGGAAACACATTGCTATTATTTACAAAGGCTCTGTCCAACAGGGTAAATCAACATAACTCTGCTGACCTAAGAGAGAGCTACAGTGATTTTAACTTAGGCAAGAGGTCACAAAGCATACAACACTGGTGAGTTTCTTCACTCCTGTTCTAGACAGCTCATGGCAGATAATGGAGCAGCACAGAAACATGACAAATATAAAAGCTCCACATCAAACTAGATTTCCTCACAGACACGACGCCATGAGACCTCTTTTTTGGCTTTGAAAGCCAAAGAGATTATCACTTCATAGATGTCAGAAGGAGATATAACTCCTGAGGTGCTGGGCTTGAAGGCAGTCCTAGAAGACTGCAATGAATATGTCAGAGTAGCTATGCTTGCTATACTACACAACAGATCACAGCATCAGATTACCTCAGCAATGAAAGCAGCTTATTTGTTTTATCTCCACTGCACCTGCAGCAAAGCAATGTACTTAAAATACTGCTCAATATTAGAAGCTCATTGTCAAGCAAGCAACATTCATCAATCCTTTCCTTCACCAAGGAAAACCAGTTGCAGCAACTGAAAGGACCTTGCGTGTCCAAATAATGCAATTTCTCATATGCTAACATCATTTTCCTGGTACCCAGAGCAGCACACAAGCAAAGCGCCTACCTTTTCAAAAGCAGATCTGGTATTCTTGGTCAAGTTTTTGTTGGGTTGTTGTTGTTTGTTTTGACTAATAACTGGCCATATAATATCCTTTTTCCTAGGACCCAGTTGTGTCTCCAAGAATGTTAACTGACACAGAGCCTGCAAGATTTCCACTGTGAGAAGTAACAGTTAATTAACTCCAGGGCTCTTACCTCCTCCGCACCGGCTGCTCAGACTCACTCTCACTGCCACCTGATGGGTTCCGCCACCGAGAGTAAGGAAACTTTGGTGATTTATTGTAGTCACTAGGTGAATTATACAGCCCACTAGGGTTAAAAAAGGAAGAGCAAACAGTTGGTTTCAAAACTTCCAGGACAGTTAGGACAGGTAACTGAGATTCAGCCTACATAAATGAGAAGGCTCAAACACGTATGCAAATAGTACCACTTTCCAGCAATAAGTATTTTACATTGAACCTTGAAAACGTAGAAGAGACCTCTTAGCACTGCAAAGCCAACAGCTCTAAGCTTACAAAATTCATAATCAAGTACATATATTCTTTTAGCATAATAAAATTTCTGCGCTTTAGAATGAGTTATCCAACCCAGAAGTAGGCAATCAAATGTACCTCTTTCTGTTTTCCATGGGTATAAATATGAAAACGGTATTCCCATCATGATATACATCTTCATCACAGAATAATGCTTGGGACCATGAAACAATTTTAGCTCCAGCTCTCTGCTGTTCACCCACACAACCCTCTGCCAATGGTATGGATATGTTTCTGCTGTTCACCCACACAACCCTCTGCCAATGGTATGGATATGTTTCACACTTCAGGTTATGTATTTTAGGCTATGTGAGACCCAATAGGTTGGGTGGTTACTGAATTAGATGTAGATTATCAAATGCCTGTATGGGTTATTCTGCAATACCTTCCTACAGAAGTGTAAGGGCCTCTTCCAACACTGTAACAGAGCCATTCTCAACCCTTTTAAACCGCCTCTAATAGTTCCATATGAAGATCCCAAGCTCTTATGCTGGAAAAATACAGTCCTGATCTCTTTCTCCTTTCCCTTGTACTACTCTTGATTTTCCAGACCACATCCCCTGACATATCTTTTTTCCAGACTGAAGGAAAAGTCCTGCCTGGCCTATGCCTTTGCTCCTTATACAGATATCCTGCACAGCTATTCACACCTTTGACTACCCTTGCTGCCCCACTGCAAGCCTTTTCCTGAGGTAAGGACATCCGAGTTGCACTTGTAATTCACAAAGTAAACGTGATTCACAGATTTATGTAACGTCATAATGCTTTCAACTTGCTTTCCTACTAATTGCTAATTGTTTTTTCTGACTGCTACATAGTTCATGTTTTCATGAAGTTATCCATCATAGCTCCACAGCACCTCATTTTACTCAGAAATCTAGAGGTATTTTTTTGCCGTGAAGCATCTCTCTTTACAGTTACTGACTCGGAGTCATCCACCATCTAGCAATTCACCTCTCATACTTTAGGGATCTTTCTGCCACTCTTCACAGACAACTTTCACTCTAACTACCCAACCAATTCTGTCCCATCACCAAGTTGTATCACCCCTTTTCCAGCTCCTTGAGAAATATACTGAACAGCAGAGACCTATGAACAGATCTCTATGGAAAGCCACTGGTGACTTTCATCCACTGACTATGCCTTTCATCCTTCTATGCCTACTTTCCAAATTTTTAACTGACTATTTATCCATGGCAGGACCTGCCTTCTTACATACAATACAGATTTATTATGACCTGTTAATACATTAATGTATTAGTATCTTTCAACCTTTTACTATGGCATGATATTTATCACTGCACAGTACCTAGGACACAACAGAATCATAGAACCACAGAATCATAAAATCATAGAATAGTTTGGATTGGAAAGGACCTTAAGATCATCTAGTTCCAATCCCAATGCCATAGGCAGGGATGCCTCGCCCTAAACCATGTCACCCAAGGCTCTGTCCAACCTGGCCTTGAACACTGACAGGGGTGGAGCATTTATCACTTCCTTGGGCAACCCATTCCAGTGCCTCACCACCCTCACAGTAAAGAACTTCATCCTTTTGTCTATCCTGAACTTCCCCTGTTTAAGTTTGAACCCTTTGTCCTGTTGCTACAGTGCCTGATGAAGAGACCCTGCTCTGACATCCCTGTAGGCCCCCTTCAGATACTGGAAGGCTGCTATGACGCCTCCACGCAGCCTCCTCTTGTCCAGGCTCAACAGCCCCAACTTTCTCAGCCTCTCTTCATACAGGAGGTGCTCCAGTCCCCTGATCATCCTCGTGGCCCTCCTCTGAACTTGTTCCAACAGTTCCGTGTCCGTTTAGGACACCAGAACTGCACACAATACTCCAAGTGAGGTCTCACAAGAGCAGAGTAAAGGGGCAGGACTGACCTGCTGGTCACGCTTCTTTTGATGCAGCCCAGGATACGTTTGGCTTTCTGGGCTGCGAGCGCACACTGAAGCCGGCTCATGTTGAGTTTCTCATTGACCAACATCTCCAAGTCCTTCTCCGCAGGGCTCCTCTGAATCTCTTCTCTGCCCAACCTGTAGCTGTGCCTGGGATTGCCCTAACCCAGGTGTAGGACCTTGCACTTTACTGAACTTCATGCCTTGCCTTACCTCTTTGGGCCACTTTCCTCCCACGGTGCACCTGTTTTACTTCTTTGTGTTTCTGGGCTGTTTTCTTTTTTCATCTTTTTAAAGCTAAATCAAAGTACAGATACATTTATTTTTTTAAAACTGATAGTGTATAGATCACATGTTCTCTCCCTCTGACCTCTTAAAAATTAATTGTAAAGTCATACAGTCATTACAGAGACCCACCCTAATATACAGGTATTTGGCAGCTATGTGAAGAGGGCAAACAGCTGCTGTGTTGAATAATTTAATCTCTCCTAGGAGGAGAGACTGGGGGGGGGGGGAGGGAAAAAAAGAATATGGAGGACCTGTAAATCGGCTCTACAGGCTCATAATTACGGCAGCATTCAGAATAAACGAGAGCAGATGCTTAGGCAAAAACTCTAACAATAGAGCAAAAATAAAATATGCTCTCACAGTCTTCCACAATATGCAGTTAACCAATTACTGAATCAGAGGCTTTATCTGCTTTTTATTCTACATAACACTTGATGGAACTTTCTTCCATAGATTTTCTGAAACACCACTGGAACGTTTTTAATTTCTGGCATAAATAGCGCCTGGTAACAGTATGCTCAGGCATTTAACTATGCCACAAACAAGTATTTAATTTTAGTTCAAAAATTCCACCAGGTTCAAAACTTCCATCCCATGTTCTTCACAAGTTCTGTGTTTATAGAAAGAAAAAAAGCCCTATAAAAGATGGTTCCCTAATCACAAACTTCACCCCATAATTCTTTTAATATATTTTTAACAACTGTTTCATCTCTTTTTCCAAGTGAAAAATTATGGACTATTTAATCTCTATCAGTATAGGATGCACCGCATACCCTTTATTATCCTTACTATCTATATTTCTTTACCATTTTCCCAGGACTACATTGCCTTCTTTAAGATGGGGACAACAAAGGCAGCAGGGGTGGTAACTATTCAAAACGTGACAGAACACAGGTTCACAGAGTAGCATCGTCTTCTCACTCCTACCCCATATGTTTTCATTTTGCTAGACACCGAGCATAGATTTGACAATGTGAAAGAGCTGTCTTTACTGACCGCTGCAAATTAAAGTACCAGGACAGTCAAGATAGTCATCTGGCTTACGAGACCTATCAATATTTGTAACCAGTATTCCATCATACTTATTGGAGATGGTTGGAAGGAACAGCAGAATGCTCCAATTCTTCCTTTATTCCTACCATTCTCACAGTGCCAGGTTTTACAACTTGCAACCCATTAAAGAAGCTAGATAGCCTGCTCATTGCCACTCCAAGTGCTGGAAAGTGACTTCCTGCTGAAGGATGCTTTTCACCCACCCTCTCACCACTGGCTAGTATGCATCATCATCTCGAGAGCTTGCTTTCTGCATGAACAAGCAGTTTGCCTGATACAGAACTAGACAGCCACATTGATTTCCACTAAGCTCTTTGAGAAGTATTACTGACAGCAACCCACTACAAACATTAATATATCTTTCTAAGTGCAACTTAAGATCTCAAAAAAAACCCCTTTACAGATGCTTACAGAGTTGAGGACACAAGCCAGAGTTCTTTGCCCAGAGCAGGAGGGGACAGACTTCGCTTTATGAAGGAATCGTGGCTAATTAACTCACTAATCCACTTTTAATGTCGGCCTTTGGTTACTACAGGTCACTGAGTTAATCATTTAATTCACACACAGCAAATACAATGCAAAAATACAGTAAATCAGCAGGAAGGGAAACTAAATTGCACTTTACCAGGCAAATAATTTTCTCCATACTGCATCCATTAATTATTGACTCAAATGTGCATACGATCTATTCCCAAGCTTAAAAATACATGCCTACTACAGACCAAGGAAGTAATTCAGGTAAATATACTTCCATCTTGTACTGCCAAAACCAATAGGTTTTGCATAGCATGAACTACTGAACAATACTTAGATTGAAAACTGTGCTTGAAGACATTTAAAGGGTGCTCTAAAATCTTAAAAAAATGAGAGAGAGAGAGAGAGTGAGGGAAATTATCTTGGGATGTGATTCCACTGCATTAGATTACTAGGCCATTATTCATTCAGAGCAGACACACAGTTAACAGGTAGAGAGCTACAGCATGGCAGCTTTTCAGACACTAGTACTATCTCCAGGAACACAGCTCCAAAAGGAACTGAGTTCATTCAAAGTCCTTGAAAAGGTTAGAATTCGGATTTCATGTGAGATTACTGTTGTTGGGGGTTTTTATGGTTTACCTTGCATTTATACCACTTATGCAGAAGTGACCAATTATGTATCTCTGCTGTGAATGAGATGTTAAACTACAAAAACTCTGCTTCTAAGAGCTGCAGAAAGCTGTTTTGTGATCATGAACAATTAATGCAAGAATTACACAGGATGGAGTAAACTACCACGCTATGAACACTCCACAAAGTATGTGTGCTACCTGTCATGCACACTAAGGCTGGCAGACATGAAAGGTGTTTTACATGTGCAGAGAGAGACACAGGGAAAACAAATAAATTTCAATGCAAGAAAAACAACTTCCAATACTTTTTTTGATGGAAGTGATTAGCACTGTTTAAAACTCTGACTCAGTGAGACTCTGTGAATTGCTTTTAAACTGCCAAGTTTAAAAAGTAAGAAACTAAATACTTAAACCTTGAAGGTGCCATGTTGAGAGCCCCTTATTTTGGTTCTTGCTCTACAATAGGCCTATCCATTTCTTTTTAACTGTTCATTGCTAAAAATTTATACATAGTATTTGTAGCATAAGCTGTAGTAAAGGGCTATTATTCCTTCCCAGTATGATTATCTGCACTATGGAATAAAGGTACTTCTTGCTTTGTACTTCTTGCTCTCCCCTAACAAATCACAGAAAGGTTGGGGTTGGCAGGGACCTTTGGAAATCACTTTATCCAAACCTCAGCTTAAGCACAGCCACTCGGAGCCAGTGGCCCAGGTCCATTCCCAGATGCTTATTGAATTATCTCCAGGGCTGGAGATTCCACAACATCTCTGAACAACCTGTGCTCAGTCACCCTCACAGTGAGAATGCCTCCTGATGTTCAGAGGGAATCTTCTGCATTTCAGTCTGTGCCTGTTGCTTCTGGTCCTATCACTGTGCACCAAGAGCCTGGCTCTGTCCTCTTTGCACCTTCCCTGCAGGTATGTACATAACTTTGTATTGTTTTCTCCCCAGTGGCCTAGTTTCAACATGACCAAGTGTCAAAATTATAATCTTTCTTTTAACCCATGATCAGTATAATATTCTAAGGGTTAGAATTTTTGATTGAATTTCCCTCTTATTGAGAAAGCAATTCAACTCAGCAATTCTTTTCTGTGTCAACTGTTTTAAACATTAGGCAATAGGAAACACTATCCACCAAGAATTTGCAGTAAATCTTAGATCTTTTCTCAGAGGTCAGTCCCGATACACTGTATGTGAAGCACACAGCTTCAATGGAAAGATAAGGACAGAATTATTCAGCTCAAAAAAAAAACCTGTCAGGGTATGAGGCATGCAGAGACAGACATTCAGGCAACTAAGCAAAAAACTTAGGTGCCAAGTTTTTTTTTATTCACTGTTTTGTTAAATCACTCTTTTTTTTATTCAGGCACCCAAATTACACCTAAAATTAAGGGTGGAGATATAAATCCCTTTCTGAATCTGAGCCTCATCTCTTTCTCTGAAATATGCGTAATAACCAAAGATGCATTAAACACAGCAGGCCATGGAAGTTCAGAGGAGCACTGGCAATTCCTTGCTCCCAAGGATCAGCACGAACACTCATGAGCTTTGTTCTGGACTTAACAGTGTGACAGCAAATGGACTCCTAGAATAACAGCACTGCTGGGAGAGAGGCCATGCCCAGCTCTTCCGTGCACATATCTGAAGCAGCACCTGCCCTGTGCAGAGGCAGACCTACACGCCGACTGCCCTGCCAGCCAGCCCACAGCTCCTGGGGGAGAGGCACATAGCAGTTCACATAACTATCGTAAACCAGTGCCAGTGGGTCACTGTCTGTTTTTTCATATTTAAAACTGAGTCTGTTTACTTTCCCATTAACTTGCCCCAATTTGCGGCTTTCCAAAATCTGTGTCACCTGAAATCCCTGTTCCAGGTTCATTAGATGATCAGGGTTTGATAAAATTAATTACTGGCCAACACTCTCTGACCTTTGTGAGCAGATCCTGAACTTAAGGCCATGATAAACTGTTACTAATGATTACTAAATGTGTTCCTCTATCCAATGCAATACACAATGTCTTTAAAGCTGGAAAGGGAACTAACTGCTGGTCTACATACCTTTTCACTGGGGAAGGTGCAATAATTTTGGTAGTTCCTTCATCCTCATCATTTGTGGTAATCTGGCTCATGTTCTTAGATCCTGGAAAAAAGAAAACCACCACAGAACAGTCCTGTAGCAAATATCTTGCACCCCCTACACCCCTATTCAGTATAATCACATACTGAACACAGTGCAGCATAAGAGGTAAAATGATACACAAGACATCTGGTACATGCACTACTTACTAAGGACGTATAATGATCACATTTTTATGTCTTACCCTCCTAAGAAAGTTTAACATGCTTAACATGGGGGAATTCATTAGTCTTGCATATAAGACAAAGGGGTTTAAAGCTGTTGTCCTCAAACTGAGTCTATGACATTGCCACACCAGAAAGGAATTCTCCGCTTAGTCAACAATAAGAAGAAAAGCGTTAAGTAGAATACAAGCTATGAAAAAGCTTGGGGATCCCCGCTGCAATAACTATAGCCTCCAAAACAATTGTTAGATTAGATAGTAAAGCAAAACTAGTATGCTTGCTCTAAGAAACCATTTTAAATTGATGTAGCAACACAGTGCAACACAAATATATCCTAAGTTATGACCAGGAAAATAATAACTATAAATCAATGGATTATGAAATTAATAATGTAAATAGACAATACCGAATAATACTCTGACAGAGACAGCTAAGCATCAGTTTCAATGAGTCAGAAACTTTCAGCCAGTATTTGAAAGTTATCTGACTAGTTTCCAATTTTGTGTGAAATGCTCTTTCCATTTTGACTCTACTTTTCGCAGTGTTGGCATTGCAGTCCCCACCTGCGCCACAAAAAGGAACCTGAAGAAGCTGGAGGAATGTGCACTTTCCCCTCTTTTTGAGCCCTCATATAACAGGCTTCAGACAGATTTGGGTATTCATGACTTAGGAGCACTGAGGGTCAAGGGAATCTGTGTATTTTATACTGGGTTTAAATCAAAGTCACATGACAATATTATGCTCTACAGATGTATTTGTTCAGTATCATGAACAAAAAGTGCACTGTTCTGTTCAGCTTGTTATGTATATATTAATCATCAATTCAAGTTTGTCCTACTGGCACTTTGATTTTAGTTTTCATGCTGTGATGTTAATATTAGTCTGTAATTTTCCTTCAGATCACACATTCTCTTTCCATATAACCAGCAATCTCAGTAATTTCTTACAAAATTGTTATCACCTCCAGAAACAACTGCTAAGTAAAACAACAAAGCAAAACCACTGATGATGTATACAGCTTTGAACAGGATCTATTCTGAGCATGTTCATGAAGATAATGAAACAGATTGACTGAAGCCTATAAGACTGCTAACAAGTAAATATCGTCCTCTGGGACAAGCAAGCAACATCATAGTGTTGTTAATACAGCGGTATAAACTCAAAGCCCTTTTGCTTGGCTAAAACATCTTAACATCTTAAACTGTGATGAGATTTTGCATTGTAAGCTTTCTCTACAATCTCAGAGAAAGATCTCCACAATCTCCCTCAACTTTCCATATCAGCCCTTTGACATGTAAAGTCTCTGGACTTTCCTCTACTTCAGCACAAGTACTTGAGATATCCTAAGGCATCTTGTCTGGCCATCAATTGCCTTTCCCGCAGGTTAAATCTGCTAGTCTTCTGCAGATGCTTCATATGCTGCAGAGGGTCTCAAGTGGCCTTTGTCACCTTTGCTGAAGCAACTCAGCCGAGCTCTTTAGGTGCCTGACTTTACTACTTTTCATTACATAGTTTACTCCTTTCCCTACTTAAGTTTTTCAGACTAATGCCTGGCACAGGAGGGAAGCAGCTTGGGTCCTGTCTTGCACAGTATTTGCTCCTTCAAAGCACTTTTTGTTGTTTATAAAAGCATAAGCATTAGGAAGAATGTAGAATATTCTGAAGAAGGAAATGAAGAATGGGCACAGATTCTCAGACAGAAAGGAAACAAAAGTTTTGGCATTCTTATTGAATCCTCTCTTTTACACAGTGAGATACAACCCATGCTCCAGACTCACTGAACAACTGTTATTTTCTGTTTTCAGGAATGAAGCAGTTGCTACACAGCCACTAGGACCTGCTTGGTAATAAATTCAGAATTACTGAACGAAAGCCTTTCTTCAATTATTTGTGGATCAGAAAATGATCAGAAAAAGTATCACCAATCTTCATTAAGGCCATAGAAGACTATACAAAAACTCTTCCTCTGACCTCTAGAAAGAGAAGGATGCCAGCAGTCAAAATCACAAATAAATAAAGATGACATTCCCATCTTTAGGTTAGGAAGGTAGTGAAATGAAAATGGAGTAGGTTAAAATGCTAAACCACAAGGATATCTCACGGTTTCTGACCATACTGTTTTGCATAGAGATGCATTTAGTTCCTACACCATCAAGTACATAAGATAAAATAGATAGCACATAAGATAAAATAACTTAGTCCATAGAAGTAATGAAACCAGCAAAGATACGACTTTTTCAAACAAAGGAAATAATTTCAGTACTCCATATAGTACAATGCAAATGACGTAGCTTCCAATTTTGAGGTCATCAGAGTGCTCATAATTTGATGGAGCAATAAGAACTCATGCTCCAAAATATGTCATAACTATGAAACAGCTTTCAGAAAAAGAGTTAAGAGTCAAGTGCTACAAAAGTAATAGTCACCTCCGAAACTGACCCTTTGCTGTGTCTGGCAACAGCACTACCATTCTGCAATACCAAGTCACCTCTGGGTGCCAGGTGATGAGGGGTTGTGAGATACAGAGTCCGTCCACCCAAGTGCAGAAGGTCTGTGATGCCTTTGCAACCCTCTCGAACTCTGCGCAAAGACTGGTGCTGCAGAGCCTATATGCAGCACCTCAGCTTTTGGAGCAGCCAGGACCAGTAAATCCTTAAAGCAGGGGCAGCTGCTTCTCACTGTTGAGTTCCCTGGTTACCACTCTATTTCAGCATTTACATAGTTGAGGGAGAACCATACCAATGACTTACACACAAAGGCAGAGATACAAATAAATACAGAAATACAAAATAGGTTTCTACAGAGACAAAACCTCATACTAGCTGTGTTTGACTCCACCGCTGCCCACAATGAGGACCTTTGCTTTGCTTTTTAAAAAATAAGACCTTGCTGTACAATTCTGTTGCGCAAATTACTAGCTTAATTAGGAACTTTCTGCCCACACTTACAGAAACTGTAACAATTGTCTTTACCTATGTTCCACCTCGTGTATCTTTTACTAACTAGAGAACTGTTTACCAACATACACCTCTGTATGATACAGTATCCCTAATATAAAAGAACAGACTCCAGAAAAACTGTCCGAACACAAACCACATTGCAGTAACCTAACTTTGCCACTTTTTGTTGTATACCAAGGTAACAGGAGTGTCAAAAATACTGCAGATAGCCAGAAATCTTGAACATCTCATTTGTAGCAAGTATTCCTAGTTGCTGCTGTCAGCATTCACTGCACTGAACTTTTCCAGTAAGGTGAATGCACAGTTTGATACCCTTTTACTGCCATCTTGATTCTGATTTGTGCATTCAATTTAAATAGACCATTACATTTTCAAAAATTCAAATGTCCAAAACCTCAGGAGACTGGCAAGCTAATAAACTTGTCATGCCTGCTTATCAACTAAAGCCATTTCACTGATGTTACCTGAAAGTACTGTTTGTATTTAAATCTATTCATAAAAGCAGTATATAGTATGATCAAAAGGAAAACATGCAAGAAGAGCTCATGCTTTGCACTGTGTGCTACTAAAAGCCTGTAAAAATTAATGGACTTCCATATGCCTACACTAGCATCGCCTTCTCTGTGATAACATTTGCCAAACTAGTTTCCAATCCTGTAGCCTCAAGGGTTTGTGCATCTTGCACCACATGCATGAAATGCAGAAGCAGTCACATCCATCCTACTAAAATGCCTAGGATTTAAAATAAATTTTAAAGTGTAAAGCTCAAGGTAAATAAATAAGTAAATAGACAAAACTACCCCAATTCTAAAATTTAACTTTCAAACCCCATCTCAGAATTTTCTGGGAAAAGATTTGAGACTTTGAATGAGCCAACCAATGGTTCTAGCTACGGTGACTGAGGTTGGCAAAGCAGGGTCTGGGGTAATATGTAAGTTAGTGGCAATAAGTAAATTAATAAGTAAATTAAACAGGGACAGCCTGTTATTGCTAAGGGACTATTATAATACAGACAGTACTGTAATTTTAATACCCTTACCCAATTCTCAACCTGCCTTTTAAATCAGAATGGTAGCACATACTTTACACTAGTTTACACAACTACCCTGGTGTGCAAGGCAGAGACAAATCAAGTCATCAGCTACCAAACAACAAACCCTAAGCAATGTGTTTTTCACTACTGAATAAACTCAGACCTACAGTAACAGGTCTGGTCACATCAGTGTTTGCCCAGAAGAGACATTCCCAAAAAGCTTTTCACATGCAGAATTCAGCCAAAATAATTAATGCCTTCACACAACACATTGTTGCAAAAGCTGAACCTTACCAGTCCTGCCCTAAGAGAGTAAAACAGAATAATGAGACATCCTGCTCCAACACTGAGTTTACAATTTGCAATCAGAATAAAATGCAACTGTAATTCCCTCTCAGTGGAAATGAAATACAATAAACAAACAAAACAAGCTATGCATATCTCACATCTAAGACTTTACAGAACAAAACAAAAAAAAAACCCTTCTCCAACTGAACACCAACCTGAACACCAACCTAAACCTACACAAAATAAAAAAAAAAAAAAACGAAAAAAAAAAAAAGCACCAATATAAAAACATTGGTTACAGAGCCATTGAAGTTTCCTGATCTGTTTTTCACACTAACCATAGAACACCTGAGATGTGAAGCATATTAAACAAATGACAAAAGGGAGGTTACTGCATCTTAAACCACTGTAATCTGGATTCTAGGATAACAATCTGCCATGCTAAATCCAAACTGTCTGCACTGTATATCCTATCAGCGGAATCAGTCAAAAGCAGTGGCTTTTATACAAGAAAGGTGCTTTTTCTCTGTTCACAGTATCATCTCCATCAACCCCTCTCTTAAAGCACAAATATTTTTACTGAAAACATTAAAGTACATATTTTCTGCAATCCTCTTGGCATCTAATCGAACTCTTAACCCAGAGTTCACCAAGTGGCTACAATCCTAATGACTTCAGCATACTTTAATGGACCAACGAGACATTAGCCGCTCATCTCTGCGAAAGATAGGTAACCCCTACCTTCAAGTGACAGGAAAAAAAATAATAACATACACTATGTAACTGTTCATAACACCAGAGCGTATATACAAAGAGAAGGAACAAGGGAAAACACTTTAATGAGATGTCAGAGGTTAGAGGCTGTAGCAACTTCACACATACCTTACAATGGAGGCAATGAAGACTGCAGGTGCTACAGCCATGCTTTTGTTGCTACTGGTTCATGTAACTGCCCCCTAAACCACTGCTGTGGCTAATCCTATTACTGGCAACAACACATAAGAAACAAAATAAAACTAAACTAAACTAACTTTGTTAGACAGCATTCAGAATAAACATGGCAAGTTTCCACATATATATATATATATACCTGCTCCCTTTTTAAAGTGGTGACCCTCAGAAGTTTATAATGCCATATTAGCCCATGAGAAAGAGAAACCTGCTTACATTTTAAAGGCCAGACAAGTTTTTTCTCCAATTGCTAACACACCACATATACACTTAACTCCATGCATAAGTTCGACTGAAATCCATATGACTGCTGTCATAGATGAAGCTAAGCATACACACATAGTCACATATAGAACTGGAGCTTGACTTTAGTAAAGCTTTTTGCCTCTACTACTATATTTCAGAAAGCACCCATTATTCTGGGTGTGACTCCTGTGATCTATGTTTATTCTTGCATGTTTCCTCTAACATCTGTCAAAACTTCCAGCTTCCCTTGAAGCTGCATTCCCAAGCATCTTCAGCATGCAGAATAGATTTGCAGCTCACACATCTGAAGGATGTTTAAATCGCAGAGGACATCTCATTAACTTTTGTTCCACTTAATATCAAAATAAAGGGATACTGCCCTTGAACTGGGAAGAGGATGTATGATACAGACACCTTGGGTCAAGCAGCTGGAAAAATGGCATACCAAAGAAGGTATAAAATTCTTTAGAGAGAGAGAGACAGGACAGCTGAAAAGAACAAGTTTTCACTGCCTGTTTTCAAATCTCCCTTTCATGCTTTGCATTAGACCTACAGAAATGGGGTTTAATTATGTTTGATCCACACCATCTCTTTTACCCACAAAGTTGGAGTTTGTAGATCCAGTTAATGCCGGGTATAAAGACTGACCTAAGGCAAATGAGAGAATCCATTCTGAGAGAATCTTAAGGACACTGCAGCAGTTCTGAGTCAGATCTCAAAAACTACATGAACCAAAGACTAAAGAAGACACCTCTGCACAGGCCCAGTAGAGAAGGACTTACCTGTCTCTTGTGTTCTTTTGGGGTAAGTCTTGCTGCGACTTCTTTCAATGCATTGGTCAGGCCGTGGGAGCTGCACAGAAGGGTCTCTGGCCATTTGGAAAAATGTTCTGCCACTTGAAAACACAAGGAAACCATGAGAAAACACTTGGACAGTTATCAAAGAAATAGAGAATCTTTAGACTGAAAAAAAAGCAAAACAACAAAAGAACCACCAAAAAAAAAACAAAACCCCACCAAAAATGCATGGGGTTTGGGCAACATGTTTTGTTAGCTTTTCACATTTCATCCCAGCTCTGGTTCTGCTAAGTAGCACTACCCTGACTTTAGTTTTGAACCAGGCATTGGCAGAATCATCAACAGACTGTGCCAACCTCTTCTATATTTGTCATTTTCAAGAGGAGCTAAGCAACTAAAACAAAATGCTGGTTTATTAGGAATAGGAAAAAACAATGTGACCTTTTGTAACCTCAAATAATTCTAACATGATTTTAAGTTATTTGTTTACTTTCTGAATTCTTCTAAGTTTTCACCTCAGGAAAACACATACTTAACATTGCTCAGTTCAAGTCAGTAAGAGGCCTACTTCTCTGCCATGTACAATGACAACCTAAAGAGCATGGAAAACAGCATGCAAAGCAAGCTGGAATAAAGGAGTCCCACTAGCACAGGCCAAAATGATAATAAGCCATGCAGAAGTCCTGATTCCCATTTATAGTAATGCTCTTCTTCATTGCACAATTTCAGTAAGTTCAAATAAGTTTAAATAAATTCTTTTATGCTCTTTGTAATGTTCCTTTCCATGTGACTAAGTGGAATATAGTGTTCATAACAAAATTGCAAAGCAGGCATTGTATTCCTCCCCAAAATTCTGTGCTTGCTTATGGAAACTTACACATAAGAGAAGCAACTGGTACTATTAACTCCCAGTTGCCCGAGCACCTGCAGTTCAAAGACATAAAAGGAAATGAGTATTGTTACTAGCAAGTGCCAAGCAACCACACAGGCATCACATACATAGATTTTCTGAATTATGTGAATACCTCCACTAAATATGGGTTGCATTTTCACCAATAGCCGCAGCCAACACTGCAGAATTTTTATCTTCTCAAAATCTGTAAAATAATTTAAGGACAAAAAAAATCCAAAATTACATCACAATAACGCTGATTTTTGACCAGTTTAATGTTTTTTTTTCCCTAAGTTAGCCAGAAAGTACTCCTGCTCATTGGCAACCATGCCAGTCTTGCAAATTCCAGAAGCAGTCTTAACAAAACATCTGCAGATAAGACTTTCCAAGAACACTAACACTTCCATGTATTAACTAAAGCATCTGATTTTAAGAGAAGGAAATTGCCTTCCTATTTGCTACCTAATGAGAAGTAGAAAATTAAAAAGCAAAAAGATAGTAACAGTCCCCACACATGCACACTCAAATGCAACTATACTTAAATGCTAGAGATGTGTACAGATACACAACACCGTCACTGCTTTTGCTGCTAAAACAAAGAGACCAAAGGTAAAGAGGGGAGATAATCAAAGCTGATGGATAAGCAAAGCACATGTAAATGCTGTTACTGCTGCTCTGAATTTTAAGAAAAAAGTTAACATGTCAATCACCAATTGACTATAACTATTATATATCATTAACGCTGTATAACCAGTAGGGTGCAACCAGATGTCACAACCCACATTTCCTAGAACATCAACTTAAGTCGGGAGAGTTCTCAAGAATCACTGCAGCAAAATAAGGAACAATTCGTATTAGAAGGAAAATATGTACTTTCATGTTTTCTAGACAAAACTAACATTATAAACATAGCTGCCAGTAATGACCATCATCCCAACATGGCAAGTCGTATAAAATTACCCCTGAAACAGATTAAAAAAGGAAGAACTTAAACACACCACCACCAGGAATAACACAAATGTAGTTAAGTGCTTCATGCTGGTTTTTTAAATTTTTTTCAATGTTCTGGTCAGGACAAAACCTTTTCTGTCCCAGCACCAGTGCCCTGCTCCAATCTGCGAAAATGGTCCAACAGAGGAAACTGTGATCCACAGTACTCTGTCCAGAATCCAGAACTCCTATCCATTTTCACAGATGGGATAATGCGGGTCTTGATCCAACTAGAAATCCAAAAAGCAGTACAATCATTCTCCTGCCTACAGTAGGAGGGAGGTTGATCATGCCAGATAACACAGTAACCCAAATAATCTTAACTACTATGAAATACTCTGAAGAAGAGAGAAGATGGGACAGAAACACACCAGTGACCCTTGCTGGACACAGTCCAGACTCAGTCACATGAGCTCAGACTCAGAACTCATATAGTCATCTCTCCATTGGCAACACCTATCTTACAAATGAGATCTTACATCCAAGGGTGAATTCTGACTGACTGAGGACAACAGAGTTAAAAATATAAAGTCTCAGTAAAACTCAGTAAAAACTACTGGGCTTCTGACATCTTACAATTTTAACTACATCCTTTATCTGCTAGACCTTTGTGACACAGCAGCTAGATGTGAAACCTACTCTCCTTCCCAATTCAGGCTAAAAATGAGACCAAGTCCTCCCTGTATACCCTTAGTCTGAAGTTACTGCATCTTTTAGAGCTTGCAGTCTTGAATGCTTACCCAAACTTCACAGATATTCCAGTTAAAAAAGATACCCACACCTCCTTTCAGGCCTGCCCTCACTTTTATTCTTCAATCAACAGCACTGTACCAGCAGTACTGTTACAGGATTAAATACAACCATTAGGATCAGGAGCCCTCACTCAGTTGCAGCTGTAAAGAAGGGCATCACAATTACAGACTTCATACACTTCCTTGTACCAATCCCTTGCTAATTTCCATAAGAAAGGTGGGAGCAACATTCTCCTTGTCCTGGCATTTCCCAGATTTCAGGACATTAACATAATTTCACAACTTACAAGGAGATTTTGACTTAAAGCATTGCCAAGGCTCCTTGCACTTTCACTACAGGCTACAGCAGGCCCAAGCCAACTCTGGGGATCTGGAGAATGAGAAGTAACCCACATTTACTCACAAACTGTCAGACTTCCAAAGGGAGTCTGTTAAAATGACTCTGATTCATGCTGTTTCAGAACTGCTCTGAGTCACAGTCTGGGTGGGATTTTTCTTTTTCATTGAAGAGGATAAAAGAAGGAACAAACTGAAGTTTAAACAATGAAATGAATTTACCTGTACCGATGTTTATAACCTATGGATCCAAACTTGCTGAATTTTCTTGACAGAGAGTTTGATTCATTCTCTGGCACTCTATGTAGTTTGAAAAATAGAACAACAAATTACATAGATAGGTCTCAATTACAGTCCCCTTCAAAAAAAAATGAAAAGAAAAATACAAACTTCAGGTTACAAAAAAAAATATTTTTCTGCTAGTTCCTCTTCATTACTACCTACAGGCACACTCTTACAGGGTTGAGAGCGCCACACAACAATGTATATGTTCTCCTCTTTTGAATACACACTTCTTTATTTCAGAGTTTACTATAAACTGCTGGCAATAGAAACCTTTTGCTTAATATTCCACAGGAGTGGGCAAAAACACCATCTCACAGTAAGGAGACTGCAGGAGGGATTCTGAGCTTACTAATTGTCCTGGGTTCAGCAGCAGCAGTCATTTTTCTCCTTGGTAGCTGGTGCAGTGCTGTGTTTTAACTTTTGGCCTGGGAACAGAGCTGATAACAAGGATGTTTTGGTTTGGCCAAGGACTTTGTGAGCCTCATGCTCTGCCAGGGAAGAGGGGAAGCTGGGAGGAAGCAGAGACAGGACACCTGACCCAAGCTAGCCAAAGAGGTATTCCATACCACAGCACGTCATGCCCAGGATGTAACTGAGAGTTACCCGGAAGGACAAGGGCTCTTCTGGGTTGGACTTGTTTCCCGGCAGATGGTATTGTATTCTCTTCCCTTGTTATTTTCTCTTATCATTGTTGTCGTTGGTAGTAGCAGTGGTGATTTGTGTTGTACATTGGTTGCTGGACTGCTCTTGTGTCAACCCGTGGGAGTTGCGCTCCTTCGATTCTCCTCCCCATCCCTCTGGGAGTGGGGAAGGGGAGAGCCGGGGGGGGGGAGGGGGGCTTGATTGCTTCCAGCCCAGCACCACTTACTGGGAGTGAGTGAACAAGCTGTCTGGCTAGGGTTTAAACCACGACACTCATTTACAGCACTGCTAAATTCAGACCCAAGCATCCGATTGATCAGTTCCTAGCTAGGCACCTTTGCACATTTCTGTTGGTGTTTTTGCCACAGTGAAGAAAGTGTTTTGAGATGTGTAATACTGGAAAAATTTTATGCATTTCAATAACTAACATTATGGAAATTCAATGATTCTTTCTATTAAAAAAAAAAACAAAGTTTCTGTAAACTGTAGAAAATAGTAATATCTGAAATCCAAAGGCCTCAATCAAGTAAATGCTCCTACAGAAAATTTTATGGTTAAATATGTAAAAATGTGTATGTCAGCTTAAATCGTGCACATACATTTGTAGATACTTCTGTTAAAGGCTACTTTATGCAACATGAGATACTGTTTCAAAAAGAATTCTAAGACAAGAGAAACAACCAAAATAAAAAAATTCAATGAAACAAAACAAAACAAACAAATAGTTTAAAATTACCGTTTCACATCATTGTAAAAAAAGGGAAGGCATCACCTTTTAAAAGCATTCTATAATCAAGTGCAAAAATGTGTTTCTAGGCAGCAAGCCTGTGTTACACCACGTTAGAGTGTAAACAGGTGTAAGTACTCAACTGTGCTGAGTAAAGTGTTCTTAATCAACACAATAGCCTTGCTTCTGGTTAGTGAAACTGCAGCTTCTGCATGGCTCACCTGAAGAACGTATGATGCTCCACACAGCATTTCCAGAGATGTTTGCATGTGATCTTGTTACATGTTTCAAAAAAGAAGGAAGTTTCATTGCACTGAAAACAAAACAAAGCAAATCAATATTGTTATAAGAGATTCTGCCAGGGAAGCGCTTACTTACTGAGCACAAGAACTGACCATCTCATATCAAGGCACATAAGAAAAGATAGCAGTATCAAGAAAAGCAGGTTCTATAATTCTGTAGAAATCCTCACTTAAAAGAGGTTTTGTTTTCTTTTTGGTTTCTCATTGCCTGAAAATAATTATTTACAGAATCAATTCCTCAGTGTTCTGAAAAACGAAAGAAAAAGGAGAAACAGAAAACAAAAACAAAAGAGAAAGGAGATTATTGAAACACTGCTGTGCCTTCATTATTGTTCATAGATACCACCTTTTTTTTCTAATTAAAAAGGACAAAGACTTTTTCAAAGAGTATGTTTTTGATGTTTACTGAAACCGCCCCTCAGATGTCAAGCAAAAAATACAGTCCCAAGGCTCTGTTAAACAGTCTAGAAAAAGGCAAGAATAGGTAAAAGAAAGAAACTCAAGATTTGTGGCAAACTAATGCGAAAAAAGCAACACAGAGAGAAAATGCACATAAGATGTATAGAAGAACAAAGGTGAAACTGGAAACAAAAAAGATGAAAGGAAGGAATCATAAAATCATAGAAGAATAGTTAGGGCTGCAAAGGACCTTAAGATCATCAAGTTCCAACCCCTCTGCCATGGGCAGGGACACCTCCCACTAAACCATGTCACCCAAGGCTCTGTCCAGCCTGGCCTTGAACACTGCCAGGGGTGGAGCATTCACAACTTCCTTGGGCAACCCACTCCAGTGCCTCACCACCCTCACAGTAAAGAACTTCCTCCTTATATCCAAACTAAACTTTCCCTTGTTAAGTTTGAATCTGTCACCCCTTGTCCTATCACTGCAGTCCCTAATGAAGAGTCCCTCCACAGCATCGTTACAGGCCCCCTTCAGATACTGGAAGGCTGCTATGAGGTCTCCGTGCAGCCTTCTCTTCTCCAGACTGAACAGCCCCAACTTTCTCAGCCTCTCTTCATACAGGAGGTGCTCCAGTCCCCTGATCATCCTCGTGGCCCTCCTCTGGACTTGTTCCAACAGTTCCATGTCCTTTTTATGCTGAGGGCACCAGAACTGTACACAATACTCCAAGTGAGGTCTCACAAAAGCAGAGTAGAGGGGCAGGATCACCTCCTTTGACCTGCTGGTCACAGCAGAAAAAGATTTTAAAAAACAAAAAACCAAACCAAACCAAACCAAACAAACAAAAAAAACAAACAACAACAACAACAAAAAAAAAAACAAACCCAAAACAAAAAAAAAAAAAAAACCACAACAAAATATTTAACTTCAAAATAATTCAAAATACTAGGAAAAGCATCAAAGGTAAATAAAAGGCATAAAAAAAAATCTCCCGAGGAAGACAACAAAAAAAGAATATTGAGAGCTTAAAACCGAATCACTGTAAACTGGCAGTCAGTACAGCAGACATGAGAAAAAGGCAGGGAGAGATGAAAGAGAAGTCCAACGCATACAACCTATAAAACACTTCCAACAGACAAGAAAAAGCAACAGACGCACCACATTGCCTGTCTCCAACAAGCTAAACATTCATATATGGTCACATAAATTACATTTCCATGTATCTGCCACTCTGAACTTAAGTGTGGAGTTTTGTATCCGTGATTTGCACAGAGTGGAGTAGTCCCACTGGTAGTCAGTCATATGATACCATCTGCAACAAAACTCAGTCCATTTCCCTGCTATGTGAATTACAAACAGGGTAATGATTCATACTACTTTCAGCAGCTGATTTTAGGAAATGGATGCCCTTGCATTAGTTATACTTCTGCAGTGCCATACATACATAGATAAGAGTTCTGGGAAGTTTCTCCCACTCTTTATTTGATGAGGTATACTGACTGACCTGCAATCATCTTGCAAACTGTGAACTAACTCAGTATGTTGCCTAGAATTCAAAATTTCACCTCTAACAAAAATCAACTATATTAACAGCTGCCAGACAGCCTCACAAAATCATGAATTACCAGCCCTTCCTCCACAATGAGACAAGTAACAGTGAATGGCAGAACTCTGCACCTGTGATTACAATAATTGAGATTTCATTTCCTCACAAAAAAAACCCAAAAACAAACAAACAAACAAAAAACTACACCAAACAAAACAAACTGGAGACATAGATATGTTCTTATTTCCTCCCATAGATTATTTTATTTAGTTTAAATGGCTGTCTGGATCAGTCCCATTAAATAGCCAAGGAATGAAAATCATCATTACTCCTATAAATATTTTATAAATATAAATACATAGTCCTTTATAGTCCTATAAATATATTCCTACAGTTCCTTTCAGGCTTGATAGGGATTTTGTCTCTCTGCAAGATTCACAAGGGAATTATTAACTTGGAGCAAAAAAAAAGTAAAACCAGAAACCAGAGACCAGAGACAAGAGTCTACCCACTGAAAGACCATACTGCATTTTTAAAGTTTCAAAGCAGACATGTCAAGGGGTACTCTTCGTTTGCTTATTTTACACGAAACATAAATGTAGCTTCATATGTTATGATTTAATTTACATTACAATTTCTAGATCAGACTGTCATTTGATGTGATTTCATATAAACCCACACAACTGTAGACACCAGTGCACTTTTAAAGAACAGTATCAGATTAGGCCCATGGTACTGCAAACTTTATACAACATGATGAGTCAATTTAACTTCTGCTAGGAAAGAACTCAGTGACTCACTTTAAATATGCAGGATCTTGCTCCTTCTTTTTGTCAACTCTTCCTTCTTGTTCACTCCTAAACTTGATTTTTATGTAAAGAATCCTCTGCTGCACTTAAATTTATTTAATTACATAACCTTGGAGGACAGAGTTTGTGAGATGGGGGAATAAAGAAGCAGAGAAGAAGCCATGGGTGTTTGGAGGATTTTTAAAGAGACTTTTAAATAAGGCACTTCTGTTGTATCTTATTATTAGCCCAGTTCAAACACCACTGAATTCCAATTCAGGGTAATATTCCCAAAAGCGAAAAGGTAATGCTTGTCCATGTTTTCTTCTTTTTTAAGAAAATTTTCCCATATACAGAGTAACATATAACAAAATCAGTAAGTGATGAAAAGAGGGACAGTATATGGGCATTGCCATATGCTTGAAAGATCTGACCAGCAAACATTACTGATTCCATCATTTGAAGGCATTATTTTCTAAGGCAGAAGAAAGCTCATCTCAGCCGGTTAACAAAAAATTTTTCATGAAAGTGCTTAAACATCTATACTTGGTACACAGCAATCAAAGGCACCCAGGAAAATACAGCATATGCCTATAGATCCAACTTATCAACAAGTTATGGAATTCATATCTGGAAAATAAACAACAGACAAAAAATCAGGGGATGGGCCAACAAGTTTTTTGATAACACACTGAGGTTTATTTATTTAAATCTGAAGGAAAAGCATGTCTGAAAACTATTGCTTCAGAATGGATGCTTGGAATAATTCAAATAGAACAGTTAAATTTTTCTAAAAGGGGAGAAAGAAAGCCTAGGACATTCATCTCCAAGGTCTCTCAGCAACAAAGAAGACAATTTGTAATTTTTTTATCATTTTTCACTTCTTTAGTGAAAAATTCAATAGCTTACTGAAACTAGTTCCAATATGACACTGCACACTATACCTCTAGGTTTAGGACTTCCTCCATTTACTTTTTAAGACTAAGGCTTGCAAGAGCACTGTGATTACCCTTACAATTTGTAAATGCATATATATAAAATAAGCAGTACCGAAGGCAGTAATATCTTCCAGGTACAGCATTTCTTCCCAGGAGAATAAATTGATTTCTACAGGTAAAGCAAGGACAACCTTACCTGTTAACACCATGGCACTTGTTTGAAATAAAAGGCAACATTTTTAGCATCTTGAACAATTGTAATTTCTTACAGACAGGAAGAGTTACCTTATTATTTTCTTATTATTCTCATACATCTGAACCAAAACCACAAAGATCTATTGCACTTTTACTAATGATATATAGGAACTGACAGTTCCAAACACGTTCAGTGCTGTTTGGTGCCTCACAAGCTGCTCCTGGCTACTCATCCTGCGGCTTTCAGAGCATCCAGTGTACTAAAGACAAGGCACTGTGAACCAGATTGCCTGCACACTGAAGGTCTCCCCTCACCATGGAACCAGCTTTGGCAATTATATATTCTAATCAAAAAGTTGTGCTTACCAAACAAGCAGAAAAATACTTAAGTTTTGTATGGTGAATTTTGATCACATCTGTGACTAGAATCAGCAAAGGAGAAAGCAGGAGAACATGCCAGAGGCTGCAGAAGGACAGTCATAACTCTTGAAGCAGTATCCAGTTCTTGAGCTGTTTGACTACCTTTTCATAATCCTGAAAAAGGCAAGTGCCGTGGTTTAAGCCCAGCCAGTAACTCAGTACCACGCAGCCATTCACTCACTTCCCCTGCTTCCAGAGGGATGGCGAGGAGAATCAGAAGAATGTAACTCCCACGGGTTGAGATAAGAACAGTCCAGTAACTAAGGTATAACACAAAACCACTACTGCTACCACCAATAATAATAATGATAAAGGAAATAACTAGGGAAGAGAATAGAACTGCTTACCACCCACCAATTGATACCCAGCCCGACCCAAGCAGTGATCTAGCCCTTTTGGGTAACAGCCCCCAGTTTATACGCTGGGCATGATGTGCTGTGGTATGGAATATCTCTATGGCTAGTTTGCATCAGGTGTCCTGTCTCTGCTTCCTCCCAGCTTCCCCTCCTCCCTGGCAGAGCATGAGACTCAGAAAGTCCTTGGTCAGAGTAAACATTACTGATCAACAACTAAAAACATTGGTGTTATCAGCACTGTTCCCAGTCTGAAAGTCAAAACCACAGCACTGCACCAGCTACTAAGAAGGAGAAAAATGACTGCTGCTGCTGAACCCAGGACAGTATCCACCCCTTATTCCATACCATTCACATCATGCTCAGAT